GCCTAGCATTGCAAAGACTCTGCACGTTGTCTTGTAGTGGAAGAAGAAGAAGAGGAAGAATGATGATACCTAATATGTAGCGAATTCTGATTAATTTTTTGGAAAGCGGGATTAGAGAAAAGAAAAAGAAGCAACAATTTTAGACATTAGACAATACTTAATTAGATACCAGATCGAAAGAAAAGAAAAATTAATGTTTAATACGATGAGTTCCGAGTGTGTGGTGCTTCATAATTAGTGAGGTCGTACCCGAGTTGGTGTTGTTGAAGGTAATGATCAACTATGAAGACCCCATATAACTTGATGGTTACGGATACAACGTTGGGGGAAAAATAGCGTGAACACCGAATACATGGCTGCAGTTGTGAGACTACTTGCCTACGCCACTTATACTACTTTAGAACTTGAACTAAGGATCAAAATAGGAAAAGTAATTGGATTAATGGCATATGGAGGAGGTACGTATGCGTCTCGATGTTTCCATGGGCGAAGCAGACTCTTGGATATTGGGGAACACAGAACGACGAAACTCCTCCTGCTGCGGTGCTACTCTCGACATACGGCACGGTGTCATGTCACCGGTGTGCTCTTCCCAGCTTGATGGTGCCTTTGGCATTTGTAGGTATTAAAATCTGATTTGATCGAGTAGATGATGAGTTGTGTTTGTCGACCGAAGCGCTCTGAAGTGTTCGTGAGTTGTCCCGATTCTTGGCTTACACATGTCCCGCGCTGTCGCGGGACTAGCCAATGAGTATGAGTAACCCTTTACACCTGAACGGACACCCGACTGCCGAGGACCGATTGGCTTCAGTCGTGCATATTCTCATCAAGGTGACGATTATCAAAGATTAAAACAGTTCCGTTCGTTCGTCTCAATCGTTCCCAAACTTTCGAGGCGGCCGTTGGCGACATACGGTTCGCTTCGAAAAGAACAAAAGAAGCATTGACCTTGAACCGATGACGACATTGTGCGTTTTTTGGAGAGAGGGGACCCGCTTTGAGTGCACCACGCGACCATCTCCAAATCGGATGACTAGGTGAATGATAATGCGACTGACTCTCGTGGGATCCTTTGAGAGTGAAGTTGAGGAGACTCTCTACGGAGTACTGCAAGCCATGGTCTCGCCAGATATGCGGATTAGCTCTAGTTGATTGTGAAGGCGGGCCTGGTGTCGATTTCTTCGTGGAGACGTTCCTGAGTGGAATATTTCTAGAAGCAGAGGAAGATGGAGTTGGGATCATCGCTCACCATCTGATACACTGATAGATCAGATGCCCCCTCAAGTTCCCCAACACCCGTCCATGCAAGATCCCTTCCTAAACAAAGCATATCGCATCTATCAGCAGCTTCTCCTGATAACGAACCGTTGTGATCCCAACATGAGATAGCTATACTACAGCGAAACCCCACGGCCTCAGCCTCATTTCCCCGCGCCAACCACTAAATCCCATACACGGTGCTCGTCCGGAACGCACCTTGGTCTCGAACAGAAACGGAAAATGGGGGCGGGATGCAACTCCAATCTCTCGATTCGAACTACCTCAAACGCAATAGTAGAATCATGTTGACTTGTATGATTTCTATGAGTATTGAACAATAGAGCCGGAACCATATCATCTCCCCCATCCCCCTTCCGTGACCCTTTTTGCTATCCCCCCTTGTTACGTAGGCGAAGAGAAATAGTGAGAGGAAAGTACAACAACAAAACAAACAAAACAACACCGAGAAATCAAACAACCCACATCCTCGTCCGTTGCTAGCGGCCGTTACAACACTTCTCGGAGCCGAATCGCCTACTTCCTACTCTGCGTTTCAACAACCAGGATAGTTTCTGGCCTTCCTATCTTTCAACGACAAAAATCCCGTGGTTCTCCCGTCTTTGCTGGGCAGGTCAATCTCACCTCAGAAACGCAGTCTCATGCACACTTGAATTCCCATCCCGTTCCCCCAAATCTGTCTGTCCCGCTTACCGAAAAGGCGGGCACCCACCACCACCACCACCACTACCACAACCACCACGCGCCTCATCGGCCGATCACTGACCTCGTGGCTGCCTGCGTTTTAAACTTGGCGCCGGCGTGACTACGTTTCGATCTAGGACTCACGCACTTACCCTAAGCGAAGAAAGACCAAAGGACACTAGAAAAGAAAAGACTGAATAGAAAGGAAAGAACCGAAAAACGAAAAAAAGAGCGCATTGTGTTTGTTGTTCCCTCGTGTACGTACACAAGTACCTTACCTTACCCCCGGCGGTATCACAACAGACGAGAGTGAGAAAGCCGCGCACCAAGCGGAAGCCACCACCACTACAACCACCACAACCACCAACGTTTCGTCGAGTCCTCCCTCCCTCGAAATCAAACGGTCGTCTTTACCCTTTTCCCTTCCAAAGGATCAAACATCGTCTTCCCCAATCGAGGATTAGCACGAAAGCCACAGCCGTTTGAGCTTCACTCCCTCCTGAATCCCCCCACGATTCTTCAACAAACCCATTCTCACAAACATTCCCACGCTGTCCCTCACCGAATTCCAGCAGTGTTCCCTCCTCACTGCCGGTGCCCACCACCACCACCACCACCACAGCCTGCACCACCCCTCAGGCTCTCGGTCGCATCACGCACCGAACCACTATCCAAAGGCAAACCTGCCCTGGTCGAACTTTCGCTTCTCTCCACCTAACCGATCGACCCGACCTCTCCTCCTCAAGAAAGCGCATTCCGCGCTACTCCTCACCTCCACCCAACCTCACCCTCTCACTTCCCCGTCGCATACGGGGCATCCGAGGAGAGAGAAAAGGGAGAATGTCGTCTCTCGAGGCAAAGATCGTCGTCCTCGGCTCCCAAAATGTCGGCAAAACGAGTCTCGTCATGCGCTATTGCAAGGGCTCTTTCAACCCGGCCCAGACAACCTCCACCGTCGGCGCGAGCTTCATGACCAAGCGCGTCGTCGATAGCGATACCGACACCGTGGTGCGACTTCAGATCTGGGATACCGGTATGCTTTTCCCTTCCACCCTCCACCCACCCTACCTACCAGCTGCGATAACAAAGTTACTCTTTCTGTCAACTTTGTTGTCGCAGGCGCAAAAAGATACTTAGCTTCAATTTACTAACATGTGTGTTTCCCGTTCCCTCCAGCCGGCCAAGAACGCTTCCGCTCCATCTCCCGCCTCTACTACCGCGGCGCCAACGCTTGCATCCTCTGCTACTCCATCACAGATGCCCAGTCCTTCACCGAAATGGGCGTCTGGCTCACCGAGCTCCGCCGCAACCTCCCCGGCGACGTCGTCCTCCACGTCGTCGGCACGAAAGCAGACATCGTCGCCCGCGACCCCTCCCGCCGCGAAGTTCCCTTTGAGCGCTGCATAGCCTACGTCGCGGAAAACCTCGCCCCTGGCCTGGCCTCGACACCGCCTCCGACGGCCACGTCCAGCGGCATGCCCTCTCTCCTCTCCTCCTCCGACCCGCGCCAATCTTCTTCACAAGTCCACCAAAGTACAAGCACATTTGGCGGCGGACCAAGCGGAGGCGAGCCGCGCAGCCCGTCCTCGAAACGCAGTTCCGGGTTCTGGGGCCAGGAGGTCGGCTGGGACGCGTGCCACGAGATCAGCGCCGAGAGCGGCGAGGGCGTGGAGGAGGTGTTCCGCGTCGTGACGAGGAAGCTCGTCGAGCAGAACCGCAAGATGCAGCAGGCGCTGTTGCTAGCTACCGCTACGCCCGGCACGCCGGGCTACGAGACGGGTATGGACGGCGGGTACTTTGACGGTATGAATCCTAGGGGCAGCTTCAGGGTTGGGAGGGACCGGCGGAGCTGGCTGTTTTCGCCAAATTTCTCGCCTGCTGTCACGGTCGAGCAGGGCGGGACGGAGCAGGATGCTGATGAGGGTGCCGGGAAATCAAGGAGAAAGTGCTGTTGAAGTTGTTCCGACAAGGAATAACACGCAGAGACGAGAGATGCGGACGAGACTCTGGAATATGGGACTCATTGGCATGCTCTTCTACGTTCTTTGCATGAAGGATGGTGGGTTGGATTGCAGAGACAACTGGCATTCGCATCCCGGCACGACATGAGAGGAGGGTATGACCGGATTACAACGACTAAGAGGGATATTCGACGACGACGACGACGACGACGACGACGACGAAGACGATACGCATGGCTGACTTGGGGCACATGTGCTCTTTCTTGAGTCACGATGCCAGCTCAGATGCAAACACGAAAGCAACAGCGGCATGACGCATCATCTGGACTGGAAACCGAGCATGCATTTCGGTAACAGCATACCGAACGAAACACGACGATGATTTTTTCCCCCTGGAAGACTGCAAGCATGGTGCGAAGGCGTTTTGTCCTTGGATTTGTTTTTGGTTATTGGAGCACTCATCAGCTGCGAATGGTGCTTATCATTTGGGGGACCACAGTACACGGAAAGTGAGGAGGAGGATTTCAACGATGTTTGGGAACGAGTTTCACTCTGTTGAGGTCTTTGGGAAAGGGGAGGGGGCATGTGTTGATTTTTGTGTCGTTTACATATTGCGGATGAAGGATGTTTTCTTCATATTTTGTCGTATCATGGGCACTGGGTACGAGGGATTGAATCTCCTTCTACCCCGCCCTTTAATTTTGCTCATTGGGCGAGAGATTTCATTTTCTTGGGCTTTCCTCTGACACTCTGTTTTTACATGGACAGGAGGGGGACATCATCTCTCGCAAGAGAGCATTGTCCACATGTTGTTTCTTGAACGGTTTTCAATTTCATAGGGCATGGGGCATGGGGCATGGGTGTTCTTTTCTTGTTTATATCGTTTCATTCGAGTCTAGATGGGGCTTCACAAGTCCCAACAGCAGCAGCGGCGGGTTTCTCATCTGCATCTATAGCATTTTCTTTCTTCATCTACGCTGCATCTAATATAGCTCAAATCTCATTGCCACTGCCACTCTTAACACATCTTCTGTCCCGGTGACTTAACGCTATAGCGAGTGAATGTGTGTCTCACTTCTAAGCCTGAGAAGCACCATCATCATGCTGCTGAAGCTGCGCCTTCTTGGACTTGTCCACATCGTCATCCACGACCGGCGCCGCGGGTACGTCGACGGCAACGCGGTACTCCAGCCCAACATACGCGTCGCTGACGACAATAACCTCGAGCTTCTTGCCCTGCGCGGCCTCGGGCACCTTGATGGACACGCGCGCGGTAGGCTTGGACCCGACGGCAACGCTGCGGCCGGGTCCGCCTCCGGACCAGCCGGCGCGCTTGACGGCGAGGACGTCGTCGCGGGCCGGCTCGGCGAGGAGGACGAACCAGCCTTCGTTTTGGGGTTTCGGGAAGCGGGGCGCGTAGACGTGGGCGTCGCGCTCGGTCAGGGCGTTTAGGCGGCGGAGGTCGACTGTGATGCCCAGGGCCGTGGTTTCCGCTGGTGGGACGGAGACGGCGAGGTTAGGGAGTTGGGAGGCGGCTTTGGCGAAGCGGGGTTGTTGGTGAGGCGGGACGGAGAGTTGTTTTGCGAGGGAGGTGATTTTGGAGGAGGAGGAGGCGAGGGCGGAGATTTTGGCGAGGGTGAGGTTGGATTTGTCTGATTTGAGGGTGTCGAGGCCGACGCCGGGGAGGATGGAGGGGGCTGGGTCGGTGGGCCAGCGGGCGGATTTGATGCACTGGAGGAGGGTGATGAATTGCAGGCAGGTGGAGAGGTGGCCTAGTTCGGTTGTGACGTCGATGGAGGCCTGGATGATACGGATGGCCTGGTCGAGGACGCTGGTCTGGTCGCCGACGTAATCGGTGATGGGGAGGGAGATGCGCGACATGTGTGCCTGGAGAAGGAGGAAGGCCTTCACGTGGGGGTCCCACATGGGGAGGCCAAAGGAGCTGCCGGGGTAGAGGAGGTTGCGAGAGAGTTCCTCGTTGATGAGGTCTTCGTTGTGGCGGACGGGGAGCTCGTCGTACTCTGTGGCGCGGGACATCCAGGAGAGGACGTCGAGGAGGGAGGCGGCGGCCTTGACGTGCTTGACGAGGTGGCGGATGGTGATGTGAGAGAGGTAGTAGTAACTCATGATCTTGCCCATCGGGGTGGGGTCGACGTCGCCGTTGGGGAAGACTTCGACGCAGCTGGAGCGGGCGAGCTCGTCGAGGGACTTGTCAATCATTTCAATCATGTAGTCGTTTGCCATGGTCTGGGCGGCGATGCTGTTGTGCTCCTCGGCCGAGATCTCGAGGCCGTAGTAGGAAGGGTTCTTGTGCAGGCGGCGGAAGAAGAAGGTCCAGGTCAAGTAGTCGAGGGCGTCCTGCTTCGTGACAATGGTCTCGGCCGAGACTTCGGCGCACAAATGGTTGTCGAGGACCGTGTGGAGGGATGATTCGACGGGGAAGCCGGTGTGGAGGAAGTGCTTGTAAAAGTCCTTCTTGGCATCCTTTGTGAAGATGCGAGCCACGCCGGAGTTGTCGAACTGCGGACGGCCGGCGCGACCCAGCATCTGGAGGACGTCTGTCAGATCCATGTCCTTGTAACCTTCAATCTTTGCGTCGTAGAACTGCGTGCCCTTGACGACGACGAGATGGGCCGGCAAATTGACACCCCACGCGAGAGTACTGGTCGCGACGAGGATCTGGATTTTGTTGTTCAGGAAAAGTTCCTCAGCTAGTTGACGATCAGATTCGACCAGACCGGCGTGGTGGAGTCCGATACCAAAGCTGATGGCTTCCTTGAGAGCATCGTCCTTGACCCTGGCAAGATTGAGCTGGAGGTCATCCTCGTCCATATGAAGGAATCGACGGGGGTTGTCTTCCATGCCGCAGTAGTTGATGAGGTCTTTAGCCGTCAGACGCGTCTGTCTTCGAGAAGGTACGAAGACGATGACAGGCTTGTCCGGACTGTGCGTCTTGACAGCGAGGAACGTCGGGCGATTCATGGACTGCATCAGCGGGCAGAAGCCCCTTACCTCGGGGAAACCGTCGATGTATAGCTCTAGGGGAACCGGACGCACGGAGTGGCGGAAGTTGAAAAGACCTTCTTTAACACCGAGCCAGTTGCCCAGGTCAGTGGCGTTGGCGCATGCGGTCGACATACCAAGAAGGCGGACAGAGTTCTTGATAGATGCCGCGATGTAGTTCATACCTTGAGTCGGTCAGCATCTTGCTAGGTTGCATTCACCGCGTGCACACTTACGAGAGACAATGATTTCCAGAATCGGACCACGATCACCAGCAAGGAGATGAATCTCGTCAATGATGACGAGACTCACCTGTCGAACGTAGCCTCTTGTCTGCCAACTACGAGAGATACCGTCCCATTTCTCGGGCGTAGTGATGATGACGTCGGCATCCTTGATAGTGCGTGTATCAGGGGTATTGTCACCTAGTTAGGTCAATGAGTATTCCAGAATCAAAAGACGCATGCAACGTACCTGTCAGTTCGACCAGCTTCAGTCCCAGTGGCCTAGCGAGTCTAGCTCCCCAATCCTTGACACGCTCGCGAACCAGAGCCTTCATCGGCGCAATGTACACAACCTTGGATTTGGGCCGCTCCCTGAAAGCCCACCACATCGCCAGCTCTGCCGCAACGGTCTTTCCACTACCAGTGGGAGATCCGAGGAGAACATTGGCGGGTGTGTGGTAGAGGGTGTGGAAAATTTGAGTCTGCATGGGGTTGAAGTACTGGAAGCGCTGGGCGTAAATCTCCTCCAGAGCCGGATTCTTGAGAGCACTGATGGGTAGCGGTTGCAAGTTGAGTAGATCGGTGTACACGCTCTCAGTGTCTGGACGAATCAAGTGCTGGAAAGAAACGGGCGTCACCGTCTCAGCGCCAAGCCATCGGTCAGATACTGCCCTTACATAGATCTGGGTGGGCAAGGGATCCGAAAGAGGGATGGTGAAGTTGAGTTCGTGCTCATCGTGGAGCTTCCTCCTGTTCAGAAGGAAGAACTCGTGATGGTAGATCTCAGACGTCTCAGAGTTTTCGACCCAGATATAGTACGACTCAGAAGTCCCGTGAATGTGGTCATTCCATCGGAAGTCAGGCTCGATGAACAACTTGATTCGGAGAACGTCGCGATTGAGAGGCGCGATTTCCGCTTCGACGCTGATGGTCGGGAAGTTGTTCAAAATGTGGGCAATCTTCTTGCCCGCGTTCTGGTTATGAACCAGGCTACCAATCTCGGCAGACTCCATGTCTCTCATTGCCTCCACGGTCATGTTGTCCTTGGCATCGAGCTGATTAAAGACCGACTTGGGGAGATCGAACTGGTGTAGGGGGTGCTGGAAGGGCCAGATGCGTTTCTCAATAGACTTGGCCAAGGTAAGTAGAACCAGACATTGATGTCCCCATCTCCTATTCAGAGCAATCATGAACAAGGCTCTGCAAATACGACCCGCCTGCTGAGCAACATAGTTGAGATCATTGCCAAGAGCAAAGTCCTCTGGCTGCGCTCTCGAGATGTATGCCTGCAGCAGGATATTGGTCTTGGCCTGGGGCGTGTCAATGCCGCCATCCACGTCGCAAGGAACAACATCGTTCCTCAGACGCGTGAGCTCCTTTTCTTCAGAGTCTCTGGACTGAATATTGTCAAACTCTCCGCTCATAGCGATCATCTTCAAGATATCCGCCTCAGTGGCCATGGGACGCATCATGGTGTTGAAGATCTGAACACTGGTGTGCAAGATGTAGTACTGACTGGCAATGCGGCCGATATCCTTGCTGCGGAGCTCCTCGGTCACTTCATTGAAGATGATCATCTGGCTTTGTTGAAGAGTTCGGGCTGCCTGAATGGCCAGCGTACGGCGTCTCTGAACAAGAGTGGGATCGTCTCTTATTTCAGCCCACTCAATGCCGTAGCTCATGGGGCTTCGTTGCATGCGAACAAAGAGATACGAGTATCCAATCCACTGAACAGCTTCGGGAATCGACGTCACAGTACCGAGGGAAATCTCAGCATTCAGATTGTCGACGAGCTTGGTGGAAAACTTGGACTCGATCGGTTGCTGCTCCGTGACGGTGGTCAAGTAATGATGAAGCCTGTCTTGGGTGGTACAAATCATACCGATACCGGTGTCCTCGAATTGGGGACGACCGGCACGACCAAAGATTTGCAACACGTCAAGAATGCCGAGATCGACGAACTTACCCTCCTGTGCGCTGTACACTTGGGTTCCCTTGATAACGACCGCAGCCGCGGGCAAGTTGACACCCCAGGCGAGAGTCGCCGTACAGCAGAGAACCTTGAGGACACCCTCTCCGAAGAGCCTCTCCATAAGATTTCTGTCGGAGCGTGCCATACCAGCGTGATGGATACCCAACCCCTTGGGCACCAGTTCTCGCAGGTCTCGCGCCTTGGATTGCTTCATGTCTCGTACGGCGTTCTCATAGTTCGGGTGGTCGGTCGGGTCGAACAGATCCACGCAGAAATCCTCGATGGCCTTCTCGTAAAGCATCTTGGCCGTCAGGAGAGTATCTCGTCGCGAATGGACAAAGACCATGACCTGGTGACCTTTCTGGAGCATGTCCCTGACCTTTTCAAAGGCAACGGTGTCCAAGTTCTCCCTGGACGCCTTGGAACCAGCTTTGCCCTTCACACCAATGAAGTGCTGTTCCAAAGGCACCGGACGGAACGAGGCGTCAAAGTAGAACATACCGGCGTGTCGGTTCACCTTGAGGAAGTCGGCAACGTCCACGTAGTTCGGAAGCGTGGCACTGAGGCCGACGATACGAATCAATGACTGGGTGCTCTCAACTTGACGCTCGGTTCTGGCGACGAGAGATTCCAGGACAGCACCACGCTCATCGTGAAGCATGTGAACCTCGTCAATGATCAGGAGACGGACTTTCTGCACCAGCTCGGTATCGCCAGTTCCCTTTCTCGTCACGACATCCCACTTCTCAGGGGTGGTGACGATGATTTGGGTTTGAACAATCTCAGCCTTGGTCAGGTGCATATCTCCAGTGAATTCACGGCACTTGATGCCCAACCAGGCTAGTCGCTTGCCGAGCTTCTCGGTGATTTCCGCAGCCAAAGCCTTCATCGGGGCGACATAGACGATCTTGAAATCTTGGAGATCTACTGCGAAGTCTGTGGCAGTGATGTCTTCAATGGGGTTGGGCGTGCAGTAGTGACCAATAGTTTGGAGGATGGTGAGCATCGCAGCATCCGTTTTACCCTGTTTTTGGTTAGTCACCTGCGCATGTCACGACAGACTTGGAGCGACTTACAGCACCAGTAGGGGCACAAATGAGCATATTCTCATTCGTCTTATATGCGACTGGGTGAACCAGACTCTGCATACGGTTGAGAGCTTTGTAGCCCTTGAAGGTGCCGCGACATAGGCCGTCCATGTCTGAAGTCTTGACCAGTCTCTGGCCGGGACCCAGAACCCCCTTCTTCCCTGCAGGAATGGCATATTCCTCATACTTGTCGAATAGTAGCCTCTCACTGCCGCTTGGAAGACCGTACTTCTGGCCTGAGTGACTGAGGGAGTTTCCGGCGTTGTAGGACTTGTACACATGAGGGTACTGAACTTCCCTGGTCATGGCGGGCGCAAGAGTCGCATTCTTGTGCTCAAAGTCCTGTCGTCTCAAGGCCTCCTCACGCTGTGCCTTGCTCAAGAGTCTCCCCTTGGGTTCCTGGGATCCCTGGGAGGTGACGGCCGTGACAATCTCGTTGCGGTGGCCAAGCAGTTCGATAATGAACTCAAAGTCGTCGAAGCCGACAAGATCGGCGAGCTGGGACTGGAGCTCCTCGTCGCCTTGGCCGGATGTAAGGATGCTGATGATCTGGTTTTGGAATACGTCTTCGGCCAGACCATTCTTGGCGGCGATGGATGAGCACTTGCTCACGAACCAGGCGGCGCCGTAAGCAGCATCGCCGTTGGTGGCGTCGTGACCGTCTAATTGGTCGCTGCTGTACTCATCGTCTTCGTCGTCTGAGATGAAGTCCCAAACGTCCTGTGCGCCGTTGCCCGAGGAGTAGCCTTCGTATTCATCGTCGAAATCTACATCCGAGGGGGGTTCTGAGGGGAGCTTCAGACCAGCCAAAGCCGTTTTCATGGCCTCGAACTGGACTCGCCACTGGGCCTCTGCGTTGTCGAGATTTGCAGACGCCATTGTTGGGCTGTTGAAAGGGTGTTGTCTTCGGAGCTCTCAAATTTACTTTTTTGTTGTATGAGAGAGGGACAAGGGGATTTGGGAATGATGCAACTTCTCCCCGGTCCTCATATAAAACATCTGTGAGGTCAAAAATGTCTATGATGGCTAGCGGTGGTAGTAAGCCGGGGCCGGTGTTGGAGGAGTCATTCACCGAGTCGCCGCCCGCCGTACATAGTGGGGCAGCCTGGAAGGGTAAAAGGTGACGGGAAGTACCTGCAGCTGCCAGCTCCCCGCCGGATCAACTTTGACCTTCATTGTCGGCCACCGTGGCACTCGAATTAGCAGAGTTCTATCGATTTGCTGCCGCATCCAATGACGTCCGTGGTTGGTGGGGGTTCTAGACTTTTGCTCTCGTCAGGTCACGTCACACACCTTGTTCTTTGTAGGTACCTAAACAGGTACTTTGGTACGGGCTGACCGCCACACTGAGGACGGAAGAGGGGAGCGCCCGAGCCCCCGCAGGCGGCAGACAGGCAGGCACAGGCTGTCACCGCAATGCTTAGCGGACTTGATGTGCTGGGTGGTAAGCAAGGTACGCAGGTACATCAATGCCTTAATTACTCTGCAGCCTAGAGGGGCAGTCCGCTGAGCCAAGTTTCCCAATAGTGGGTGGTGCATGTGATGTATCGCCCCTCTAAGCCAATCGTTCCCCAAGGTGCCCGCGGTGCCCTCTGTAAACCTTGAACCGACGCGGAGACGCTTTCTCCATCGTCCTACAACTCGGATCGCCTCCTTTCTCCATTATCTCCATTCCCAATTCCCCCTACGATTACCTGACTTTCTCACACTCACACGAATAAGCCCGTTCGCTCCTCTCGAACTCGACGTCCTCGGTTTATCTACAAATTACCTACGAACCGACGACAACTAGACTCCGCGACTACACCTTTCCGCTACCCCTCTCACCCCTCAAACTCCGCCGTAAGTCGAAGCCGGATCTCCCCTCCCATCGCCTAGACCGCCTTCAAAGGCGACATCTGTGATCGACGACTAACACCACAACTCCAGAAAATGAAGTTGCACTACATCGGAGTACGTCTCTCTTCCATCGCTGCTACCTGGCACTTCGCGCGATCCTAAAAGCACCTGCGAGCGACCTCGCAATTCAATTACCATCGCAACTAACGCCTGCGTCGCAATAGATCCTCCGCAATGACAGCAAGCCCGCCGTCGAGCTCTGCAGCGAGATGGAGCTGTCCGCATACTCCCGGTTCACTAGAAGTAAGCCATCTACGATTGCGCACACGGGGGAGGGAACTGTTCGCCCCAGCTACGAGTCGGACGACTTGGGCCTCGAGCCTAAGGCGCCCTCTCATGCCTGAACCCGGGCTGACGATCTTTGAAACACAGACAGCTACGCCGAGTTCATGAGCCTATTCTCTAAGAAGGTGGCCGAGTCGACGCGCCCTGGCCAGAGGCAAGATATCGAGGAGGGCGATAACACATTCCACTGCGTGGGAAGAAGCGAGGGTATCTGTGGCGTGTAAGTGGGCAACTCTTCAAAGATGCCTTCTCACAAAGGAGCCGTACGCACACCAAGGGGGCGGTGCTGACACTCTACTGCGCAGTATCATTTCCGATCACCAATATCCGAGTCTCGTCGCTCACCAGCTTCTCTCCAAGATGTACGTCCACCATCACCCCAAGGGCCGCCAAGCCTTCTCCCCGTGACCCTTATCAGGTCCCAAGGCCATGCTAACAACGGTCACAACAGCGTCGACGAGTTCCTCACCAAGCACCCGCGCTCCACATGGGCGACGGGCGAACCCAAGCTCGTCCTCCCCGAGCTCAAGGAGTACCTGACGCGGTACCAAGACCCGCAGCAGGCCGACTCGATTCTCAAGATCCAAAAGGAGCTCGACGAGACCAAGATTGTGCTACACAAGACCATCCAGAGCGTCCTGGAGCGCGGAGAAAAAATTGACGACCTGGTGGCCAAGAGCGACGGCCTGAGCTCCCAGAGTAAGATGTTTTATCAGCAGGCCAAGAAGCAAAACTCGTGCTGCATCGTCATGTAAAAACAAAGAAGTCGTGCCCTCCTTTTTGTTATCGCCCGCCTTGTGCCTTCTCTCACCTGAGTTGATTGTCGTTAAACCGTCTGGCGTTGGATCCCCTCTTGGAACTCTGTCTCAGCATAAACATTCGCTCAGTGTTCAACGCTCGCTACTTCAGGATTCGCAAGCAAAGAACGACTGCCCTTTTTTGCTTTTTGCTTTTGCAACAACGTCGGGGGAAGGGGCTTCTTACACTACCTACCATAGCGGGATGATGAGAAGGCAGGATAGCAAGGCCCAGTGTTCATAGTTTCTCCCTAACCCGGCCACCACTCCAGTCTCCAGTAGCGAGACAAAATCGACGGCTAGAGTTTTTAGGATTAATACAAATCTTTCCTTTCTGTTGCAGAACATGTCGTTGTACCGATACTGCATGCAGAAGAACAAGGGAGAAGAAGAAGAAGGAGAAGAATGGACAAAGGGCGGCAAGTAGCCGAGACATTTCTTTTTGGCTCGATTTCCTCCAGGATGTGAGACAAAGGAATGCTAGGCGCCCAGTCACTTGTCTCTAATAACTATCCTACTGCCATTCGCCAGATTACTGTCTCTTTGGGGTGCGGAAACCTCGATTTCGGCCAGCAAGGCATGTTGTAGGTAGATGATTCGAGTATGCGATGAGTCTTTGGGTTCTCCATAGAGAAGCGGTGCTATTCTTGTTTTAATCTTGTTGTTTAACATGTACCTACATACCATCGCATCCTTTCAATCTTCTGGGCTAAGCCACATACATCGAGGTCTCTCCAGCCAGCAGGTCTAGTGTTATTTTTCTAAGCAAGAGGGCTACAGCTCTAACACAGGTGCTTCCAAAAGTCTTGACAGCCATGCAGAGTCCATGCGGCTGTGTTCCGCTGCACAGCCGTGGGCTGACTGAGACCGAAACTGGCCGCTGGCCTTGAGACTCCAGCGTATCTGAAACCTACGTGTACGTTCCTCGTTACGAACAAAAAAACGAACCATAAGCCAATTTACTCCAGGTGGTGACTCAAAATATCCTGGAAGCGGCTTCAAAAAGGATTGAACCTAGAAACGGCATGTTTATTTTTAAGCTTTAGGGATTATCCAAGAAAAAAAAAACGAAGATTCTCCAAGAAAGCTTTCTTCAGACAAGTGAACCAAAGGGTAACAGGTTTGAAAATGCCCTGGCCCTTGCCCGCCGTCCTTCTCCCTTCCTACACCAGATAAAAAAAAGAATATCTCTCCCCCCAACAGTGGTATCGATTGCGCGCAAAAGAAACGAACCTTCGAGGTCGTATGACTGGAAGATCAGGTACTCCATCGGAAATCCTTCTCTGTGTTTTGCTTCTCGGGAAACTCGCTTGCAAGTGACAAAAAAGACCGTTCGAACTTTGCTTTTCTGATAAGGCCACCACACACATACATATCCAACCCCCATACAAGACAATGAACTCGTCAAAACCTGAAACCAGAGTGAAGAAGCCCCCCCCTTTCACCAAGCGTATGAAATCCCGCTATAAGCATAGTTCGAAATGGTCCTCCAGAATAATAAGGTGAGAGTGTTGACAGAAAAAGGTGGAGTAAAGGAACAAATCGGTCGATGAGAAGGTGGTTAAGTAACAAAAAAGGGTTGTAAAAGTCTGATGGCGAATCCGAGCACCATCAGTGTATGTGGACGAAGGGAATTAGAAGAAGAATGTCCGACATGATGATAGGAATAAGAGCCTAGGCTCCAGAGAGTTTCGTGTGAGTTTACGCCAAGTCATCCTCGACGATAATCCGCGAGCTCTTGCGGTTCTGCGCGATTTGCTGCTCAAACGTCTCGCCGTGGCTGATGAGCGTCGGCGTGGAACTCTTCGTCGTGGATAGCCGCTCATTCTTGCCCACTGTGATGGTCGTCACCGGGCTTCTGACGTTGGGGCTGCCGCCGGTACGAACAGCATTCGTCTTCAGGGGACGCAGCATTCGGCGCTGCTGCCGGGAAATGCTGATCTGCCGGGCAATCGAGATTTCTACCGCAGCGCGGAGCGCGTCGTCCGGCTCAGACTCGTCGAGGGACGGCTTTGTGACGTGCGTGTGGACGGAGGATACCGATGCTGGGGAACGGTCTTTGGCGCTGGGCGCAGCGCTCGACGGGGCGCTGGACTCGCCTGGTGTTGAGATCATCTGCCATGCGGGTTCGTATATGGTTGGCTTCAGTTGCTCTGTCAGGTGGATCTCCTCGGATTCGTTGTCGTCTGTTGGTGAATCGAGCATGAGGCCGGACTGCTCGGGCCCGAAGACGAAGTCGTGTACATCGGAGGGCTGGGACCGGGCGACCGTCTCGGGCGATAGGGTCTTTTGCTTGATAGATTCAGGGCTTCTTTCCTCTGCGGCTGGCTCGAAGCTTGCTCTCTGCGGGGATGACAAGAAAGCAGGTGAGGTGTTTGAGCGGAATCGGGGTGATTGAGGCGGGTTGTTGGCCGATTCCGAGGGCGTGGCCGGAAACAGTGAGAGAGAAAACGCCGGTGACTTGAGCGGCTGTGGTGATGTTGCTCTCCGACCCCTGGTACGTTCCCTCTCCTCCTCTTCCCTCGTGACCTGATCGTTGATCGTCTTCAGTCTGTCCAGAGTAGCTTGCCGCCTTGCCAGAAGCGAAGATGAAGGCTGTAAACCTTGCGATCCCAACGTCGAATCTTGTGATCCATGTGGTTGTTGTCCCAGGACGTTGCCGAACATTACACTGTACCTCTCCATCGTGATGCTGGGAATTTCCACGTCCAGGAACCCGCCCGATGGCTTAGGCGGCAAAGCCGGTACTCCCATCGACACGTGAACCGGCGCAGAAATATCCGACTTCTTGACACTTTTGGTCGACCGCGTGGACGCCATTCTGCTTAGTAGTTTAGGGGGCTTCGAATCTTTCGGGCTCGGCGGGGCCACCGGGCCAGCCGTTTGTGAGCGCTTCATGGCAGGTTTGCTATCCGCTGTCCTCTTCTCCGTGTTACGTCTTCCCAGGTCAGTGGTCTGGTTTGTCGTCGGTGAAATATCGAAATCCGTTCTCGTCGGTGCCGGGTGCTGAAGATTCATAGGTTGTGAGATGGCGACTGGGGATGAGGCAAGTCTCTTGCTTTTTGAACGGCCAAACAGTTTCCACCTTCCTGATTTCTGCTTCGGTGCCGGCACGGGTTCCGGTATCTCCTGCGGCGGTTCTGGTGTTGGTGAGGCCCTCATCATGGTCGTGCTGAGGCTGGATGCCTGCGGTTGCCACTCGTCTCTCGGGGCGACCATCGGCGATGGAAGAAATTCGCGCGACGCTGTGAAGTCCGGAGGTGGATGTGTCGGGCTCCCTATGGCCATGCCTATTGCTATCGTTCCCATGTTGCTATCCATCGAATCTGGCGTCTGTGTCCTGACTGTAAAGGTGCGCGCCGGTGAGAAGTCGTGTGAGAAGTCGCCAGGACTCTCTACCGGAGATGCTGGGTTGTCCCGTATCGGGATGTGATACGACTTGTAACCACCACGTGCTGAAGACTGAGGCCTGATGTACAGGTCATCCTTGGACATACGTCTATCAGCAAAGGATCTGAAGCTGGTGGTGCTGTAGTTATGAGGTGAAAGACCTCCGCTAGTGCTGGGCCGCTCAGCCATGGTCGAAGACGCCTTGGATGGAGGAGGTGTAGGCAGCGGGCGATGGCGGTATGTGTTGCGAGTTTCAACGGCAACGGCAGCAGCGGCGGCAGCGTCGGCGGCAGCGTCCTTTGCGAAGAAGGGCACGCTCTCGTTTTGAGAAGCGCTCGAGTCTTCCTTGGTCTGTTGGAAACTTGACACAAGACCCGGCGACCCCAGGACGGGGGACTCTGGGCCGTGCGTCTGTACACCACCGGGGGCCCCTCCACCAGCCCTCATGCTCTTCATAGATCTGGAACGGTTAACCAATTTGAACATGCTCCTCTAATGGCCCGGAACAGGACTTTGCAATGCTAGCGCTTGGCGGATCCTTGTTGACAGGGCTATAAGAGCAAGAACCAGGCGGGATGCCCAGAACGTAGAGCGGGGTGATCGGTTTCGAAAAAGGAGATGATGGGAAGCGGTTGCAGGAACTAGTAGAATCGGAGGACTAGAAGGCCGTCTTGCAAGTTGCGCCAAATGTGGAGGCAAAAGAAGAGAAAATGAGAATTATGGCTGCTAGTAGAAAGGCAGTTGCTGGAAAGAAAGACCAAAGACCCGATGACAGAGAACCCCCCGAAGCCCATATGCAGAGAACAGGAGAGGACCCAGACTGCAGACGGGGGGGACACTCTGACTTAACTCTACTTTGATATCATCCCCTCTGATTTCGCCTCTGCAGGGTCGACCCAGAGCCCAGAAGCCCTCGTTCTTGGTCCCCAGCACGCGACTCGCAACTTTGTCGCCTGTTTGAGATTGATAGGACGGATATTTTAGGGGGGGCTGATCAACACAAGGATGACGAACTTCGACATCCTGTCCTTGGGCCAGTCTGTGGATCGAGGGTCCCGGTCGTTTGTGAACGATAAGTCGCGTATCTTCTGCGGTCGAGTGGAGGTCTTGCGGTTTCGTGTGTCAGACTAGCGAGAACTGTAGGGAAGCACAGCGGCGAAGCATAATTAACGGAGTCGTCATCTGCAGGGTGGCCGAGAGGTCTAGAGACTCTGGATAGTCTGATTTCTGTGTTGACACTGCCGTGCGGCGTGGCGGTCAAGGCTGGCTGAGGGGGCTGAGAGTCGAGAGCTGAGTGAGAAGCCTCGGATGACTCCATCGTCAAGCCGCGGCAGCTTCCGGTATTATCGTTCTGGAGCTTCTCGACGAAAAGCTCATAAGAAGCAATTTGACTTCAAATTGACTACGCCCACATGCCTTGTTGTGCCCCCCGTCGTATCGTGCCGTACCTTGCCGCTAGAGAGAGCTAAAGAGAGGAGGGATTCGAGAAGGATGAGAGAAGAGGGAGGGTCGCATCCGTGCTTGGTCTGCGGGACATCCTGGAAAGGTTGGGTTACCCCAGCCCGGGGGCAACAAGCCTCAGGGTCGTCCCTGTCATACCGCACGTCCTCTCGCCTTCGTTGTCGTCGGCCCCCCGAGGCCCAAGCCTCGTCCGTCGATGTAATGATCGATTCGCTAATAATCCGAGAAGCCGTCACTGCGCTACGGTAACTTGTAAGTGGCCGTTGAAATCGTCGAACAACTGGGACTGATCCCAATTGCAAGAAACTGGGTCCGCCGGGATCCGAATCGCCTCTGCAAGATGGGACTGGCCCAGACTCAAGATGAGTAACACGAGGACGTCCCCTCTGATGCCCAGTGCCGCCCCAAGATTTGCCCAACGGCCACCAGGCTGAAAATTGCTTCATTTGAAGTTCAATCTCCCAGCCGATGCGGTCAGCGAATGAGAGTTACACGACGTTGCAGTCGCGGATCCTCTCCGCACCGCTGGGCTAACAACGCCCTGCCCACGCATGTACCGATCCCCCACTCTGACATCAAACGGGTCTCTCGTTTTAAATGAAAGGATCAGAGACATCGTTGCTCATCCGGCTTCCCACCAACCATGGTCCACAATCAAGGAAATAACCTTCTCACACTAGGCCTGCTTATCCAGCGTGACGCCAGCGCTGTCCGGTGTAATTTGATCAAATCTTGGTTATTTCCTGGTCCATTTTCCCACCGCTTCTTGGGCCCATTGTCGCACAGGTTTCCGTACGGATATGTTCGTTTCGCAGCTTTGTACGCTCACGGACATAAAGACCAATTGTGTTTCCTGATGCGACCATGCAATGACATTGCGAAAATAATGCAAGCCGAACACATAGCTGGGAAGTTGGTTGACAGAGGACGCGCCAAGTAACACGAAATTGCGAGCTTACCTAGGGCCGACGCTGAATAAGTCTGCCGCTCGAGGTGTCATCGCTCGGGGGGATCTGGTGGACGACACGCCCTAGTGCCTCGTATGCGTCTGCTCTTGGAGCTTACAGGCTGTCCTGTCAGCCGGAAGAAATCAAACACCCTCCCTCTTAGAAGGTGTCGTATTGAAACAGACTTCCTGGGACACGGAGCGCTGTTGCTGAGGTGGGCGTCGCCGAGCGTTGGAAAGTTTGTTGTTCTCGAATTTTTTTTTTTGCGTCCGACTGCGACGTGCTGTGTGCTTGGGCCTAGACGCTGACAAGCACCTCTTGTTCCTCTCAGTCCACGATAGGCCCACAGTCAGATCATCCTCCCAGGTCCTGAAATGGCTCCAAAGAATCGTGGGCTATCGAGGAGCCCTGTGTGACAAGGCTGACTGGGTATCAGGGCAGATCAGGAGCTAAGGGAGCTTAGAGATGATGGGAGGATGCGGCAAGGCTATCCATCGACGGGGTTTGAACTGTCTCGTCCAGGGTGAAAAGCCGAATGATCGTCTCAAGATTGCAAATCCGCCAGTCAGTGTATCCGTTAGGTGGCCAGAGCGCAAGTAAGACGTTTACTGGCCATCAGGAAGACACCCTGTCGTTTTGATCACTTCCAAGAGACATCGTCAGTTGAGAGATGCCACGAAGACGCCCCTGAAGAAACCGTCGTGAGATGCGCCCTTGTCTTCTGAACGATAACCTTGTTGCCAGGAGGTGATCGCATTGCTGTCAAAAAGTAAAACTGGTTTGATGAGCAGCATGCCGTATACTCAAAGTTCGTCTGAAGGGATGGCTGGAACCCATTTTCGTGTTCTGTCTTGCTCATGTGATGTCCACGAATAATGTCATGCAGATGCAGCTGGCTCTTCCCATGGGTTGAGTTTACCAAGTCGTCGTGTAAGCCGAGTCCTCCGCTGCACGTAAGTTTGCGGCAGCCGATCCCAGGCTAAGCAGTGAGTTCCCCCCGGCTGATTATTCTACGAATAGGATAAAGTTGGGCGCCGGTGTCTGTGTCTCTGTAATGAAGTCTAGCCCTGGTTTTGATTGTCTTCCACGGCCCGTAAATGGATCTGTGAACCCGTGCAAGATGGGGATTCGGAAGCCTGGAAATGTTGTTGGGATGACAAGACGACCAGGGCGATCAATTAAGGTGTGAGACGGCGGCGGATCAAGCGTAACGTAGGCGGTGCCCCGGGTGACGATCCGTTGACAGTGTAGCATCCCGCGAGAGGCATCGAGTGGAAACAACTCTGATAGTTTATCCAGATGATCGGATGTGTACGCTGGTGAGCGGGATTCCATCTGAAGAAGAGAGGCCAAAGCCTGGAAGTGATGCTGTGCAGCCTTGACCCCGGCGTGATGGGGACAAGAAGTTCAAAGAGCCGATCTGGTTAATAGACGACTAGGACTGTGCAGGACCGAGCTGAAGACGGAAACGTCCCGTCTTTCGACTCCGAGCTGCCTTGCGGACGGACTTCCGTCGACCAGGCGTCCTCGACGTCGCCGCTTGTAGGCTACTCTCGTTGAACGCATGCAGGTGGATAGAGTAAAGATAGAAGACGTCGAGCGTAAGTTGGGCTGTAGTAGCTGCGGTAGCTAATATGGAATATGCGAGCTCCTTCTTACAGGGACAATCCAAACGTATTTAGAAAGCAATTCTTTTCGCTTGATGTTGCCATTCTGCACGTCCGTCCTCACTTCTCATGTACCGAGCGTCTGTTTCGTTCTTTCGATCCTGCTGGAAACGAAAAGCCATTAATAGCGACGTCGACGAAGACGACGATGGAGATGGAAGGCGGCATAGAGCTTTGCCGGGCCGCCGGCGGAGATGTGTTGGGCTTGGCGAACATGGGAAACGGGGGTCGCTGCCGTGGCGCATTGAGTGTGGCGAGCTGAAGCGGTGACGGCCCTCAAATGGGTGGGGGCCAACAATGCCCGTGTCCGTACTGTGCCTCTTCCGTTGTATTCACACAGTCACCCCGCCATCACGTGACTAGACAATGCGTTTGGCGGGGCAGCTTCCGGAAGTGGCACCCAAATGGAAAGATACGTAAGGCGGTAAGGTGAGGTATGGTACCTGAGGCAAGGTAATGGCTACAAAGGCGATGATGGGAATACCCGGCGGATCGTGTGGACTCGTTGAGCTCTCTCGAGTGGACCAGCTACCTCGGGTACAAGTAGGTAGGAAGATAGGGGATTGAATTCGTCAAGACAAGGCTAAGCCGTGGGTGTCGAATAGGAAAGGGAATCAGAAGAAACGATGAGAATTGTTCGGATAAGGTACAGCAATTCTTTGGCAGTCCCTACCTACCTTAGGTATCTTACTGTGGTAGCTGCATGACATTGCTGGACTTTCCTGAACCAAAGCACCTCACAGTTGCCGGGGGGTGGAAGCAACGAGAAACAGAGGTATTCGCCTACGATGCCCGCGATGCTGAAGAAAGTACCCCGCACCGCTACTCTGGCGCCAGCAATGACCTCTCAGCAGGTAGCGTGATACCCCGCCCGGCCCGCTGGACCTAAAAATTGGTTTGCTGAGGTATTCCTCGGAGGAGAGAGGGGCAAGCGTCAGGCAGGAAAGAGGAACAAGAAACATCAACAGTCACAAACCGAAATTCCTCCCCTCCATATCCCACACCGCGTCAAAGCTTGAGCTTTTTGCACACCCCCTTTCGACACAGAGAAGCTTCTTGTCTCTTTTTTTGTTAATTTGCACCAGCGAGCACTAGTCTCTTATTTCTTCCCGTCGTCCTTCCTTCATCATGTCGTGGCAAGGTAAGCTCACTCACTTCGCAATCTCCCACCCCCACGAAGGGCCGATGCGGGCGTTGGCAGCTCTCTCCCAGGGGAGACGGAGGGGGGAGGGAGAAGCCAACCCCGAGGGAAAAACCTCCCCAAACCTCGAGAATCATCAGAATGAGCTAACAATCTCTCTTTACAGCTTACGTTGACACCAGGTAGCTTTGCACCAGCTCTTTGTTTTCGCTGCTTTCGCATCGCGAAGGATTGCTAAGCTACGCAATGGGCCATGGAGAACTGACGTGGGATCTGTAGCTTGGTCGGCACCGGCCACATTGACAAGGCCGCCATCATCAGCATCGCCGGTGACAGCACGTGGGCGTCGAGCGCCGGTTTCACCGTATGTGATCCCGCCTCCAATCGTCAATGAACATCTAGCCTCGGTACCATTACTGACAATTTGTTTTGCGCATCATAGCTCTCCGCCACGGAGATGAAGGTCGTTGCCGACATCGTTACCGGAAAGTCGGACGTCAAGGACAAGGCCTTTGCCGATGGTCTGTTCATCGGCGGCGAGAGATACGTCATGGCCCGTGCCGAGGAGGGTGCCATTTACGCACGAAAGGTTGGACGCTCATACACTCTGAAAGCACCAAAGAACCGTGGCATTGTCCGCAGAAGCGCTGACTTGAAATCACTTGAATAGGGCAAGGAGGGTATCGCCGTCGCCAAGTCGACCCAGGCCATCCTTCTCGGCCACCACGGCGAGAACGCGCAAGCCGGCAGCGCTACTCTGGCGGTGGAGAAGCTGGCTGACTACCTCGTCAGTGTGAGCTACTAAGAATACCAGCCCGGATGGAGGAGATGACGGCGTAGAGGAGGGGTCACGCGGGGGGATTTTTGCAACTCTAGGAGATAAACCCCTGGAGTTTACTGTGTGCGAGGCAGGCTGGGCATCTCGCTCCCGCGTACACACGAGGATGTTGACAATACGAATCGACGAACACTAGATTAGCAAGAGTTTACCAATGGCGGAATCTTTGCTTAGCCGCGGCTACGTTCGAGTCCGAAATGCGCCAACCATGTATGTCAATGACATGTCTTTCCGTCCCACGTGTGCCAGATGGTTTCTCAAGCGTGTCTTGCCATTCATTCATTATCCTTGAGCGAGTTTCGTCGTCTCTAGACAAAGGTTTCGCCCTTGCTCTAAGAACCGAAAGCAAATCCGCGTATAATTACAAGCCTTTATCAAATCATAGGTTCAGGACCCAACCTGCGCCGTTATGGTATACAATCCCGTCTATACGCTATCCTCCTCATTCCAGTGGCTTCCCCGAAAATCATTGATACGTTGATACATCCCTCCCGACCGCCTTCCAATGGAATATTTACACAGGCAACTCGGCGTTCCGGCGACCGACACCGGACCGGTCGACCGCGGTGCCGATATACGGGCCGATGACGGGGATGTTACGCGCAAAAGCGGCAATCGTGCCGAGGAAGTCGCCAAAGAGGACCATGATGCCGTAGAGCTCGACGCAGAAGCCGATCAGGGGCCACCGTAGCAGGATCAGGGTGAGCCCGCCAAAGAAGGCGGCCGTGCCCTTTGCCTTTTGTTTCCGCGCGAAGAAGAGGAGCGTCTTTTGGGGTCCGATGATGATGGTCAGGCCGATGAGGAAGAGGATCTATTGCATTCCAAGGGTCAGCTACTTTGTGCTTAGGTGATTGTTGACTCTGTGGTCAGGGAGAAGGGAGGAGGGGGGTTTCGTACGTTTCCCATGGCCAGCCTGAGAAAGGATCGTGTTAGCTCTGTCGCAAAAGTCAAAGGGAACGAATTCGCAAGAGACGGCTTACATTGCTCGGTCAAAGAACAGCATCACTCCACCGATGAGGAAGAAACCTCCTGTAGGAAGCGCAGAGAAGTTAGCCCCCGTGAATCCTACTTGCTGTGTGTGCTACTCGATGCGCCAGAGAGCTACTGGTGACAGCGCAAACGTACCTCCGGAGCAGAAGATCACTCCAATTTCTGTAAGAACAAAGGTCAGCTACGGTCCTTGACGGTGGTGTAGAGGCTGCGGAACATGGTTCCGGTGCGGTATTGCCTGTGACGGCTTGGCGGCGCAAAGAGACGTACTTTGAGAGTCGGACATCCACATTGACGCCATCTTGGGTATATGCTCCTAGCTTCGTTGGAGTTGGGTGGTGGGATGAGAAGGGAGCTTCGATTCGATCGGGTCGTTCGAGGGTAAGGTTTCTTCTTGTTTTCCGTAGAAAGGTAGCTGCTACAATCAGAAAGGTCCGAAAAGGGCCGTTGCAATCGCGAGAAAGAGAGGATGAGAGATACGCGAGAGAGGATTGGCGTACGCGGGACTGTTGGACTGAGCTGCCGTAATTTTTTAGATTAGGCAAAGAACAGATCACCAGGGGGAAAGGTGCCGGCCGCTGGCACGCGAGCAGGGGTCTTTGCTGCAAGTTCCTGGTGCTTGGCCGCGCGCCGTCACACAACGAACCTAACTCTTGGGGGTTTGAGGGTGGTGTGCAGTGCACCGAAAGCCACTAGGAATAATTGGGTCCCTCTAGCAGGTTAACCAATCACAACGTGGGTTCAATTTTCCCACGATGGATTTAACCCGCGCTGCAGTTGGAAAAAAAATCAACCTGCTTCTTCAACATCAGCTCAGTGTTGAGTTCGCCTTGAAGGGCTCGACGACACCCGCATCAGGACTGGCCAGCTGGCGAGCACACGATAATCAACAGTATAGTCAGGAAATAATGTTCAGCCTTTCCTAGACAGCGTTCATTGATCTATGGCGCGACTGGTCTCTCAAATCGCTCTTCTTGAGGTTATCCAGCTGGGTAGCTGTTGCGGTATAAGATTTGGGAAGACCTCATGGCGGAGCATTTGAGCTCTACCATGGAGACACATGAGCGTTCCTCTTTGTGGACACGAGAGGATAGCATCTATACCACCAGCTCCGATTTAGACGAGCAGGATCGTCCCCCGGATTCTAGCAAGTCGGAGGCTCGACAACAAAACGGTAAGGAAAACATAACTGCATAGCAGTTCCGCCGCGGCGGCTGTAGCTTTAAGCTATGGCAACTGAGTATCGTCTCCCAATACGTTCTCGGTAATCTGTCGATTCACAGGCGAAGAACAACAGTTTATCACGATTAAGCCGGAGTGTCATCTAACACCCTATGCTGAAAGGCGCAGGGCTGCATAGTTGAGATTTGACTTTGTTGGTCGCACATACATAGATTCCCGCAGCCCACTGGCTAATTCACATGAAATATAACCATTGTATTGACTTCAGAATAAGAACTCATTGCGCTTGAAACCCCCGGTGACTCCGAACCTTGGTTCACGACCATAGTCTTGACCCCCCTTAACGCCTGACCTATTAAAGCTGAAGCATCGTGCCTCACGCCGCCGCCGTCGATGTCCGACCGGCCCATAAGATGGTATCCGTACGATTTGAAGCAGTAGACACCCCTTACTTGAGAACAGTATGCGCACCACGCGCTTCGAGATACTGCTCAGCCGCGCCCTGCGGCAAAGTCCGGATCAGCCCAAACACCTCCTTGTCGTGATACCTCAGCCGCGTCTTGGGGTCGACGTACGGCGCCGGCAACCCCGTAATATCGCAGTACCGCTTCGTGTGCGCCAGCGACGGCGCCGACTCGACGTTGGTGTACGTAACACTCGGGCCCGAGCCACCGGCGGCACCACCACCGTTGGGGCGCAGGCTCTTTTCAAGAACCAATTTCGACAGGCTGCGCGAAGCCTGCGCGAGGTTCGGGTTGTTGTCGTTGTTGCCGCTTCCGTTGCCGGCGGCGGGTGTCGAGGCGCCGCTGGTAGAGAGGCCGTCGTCGTCGTTGCCGCCGCGACCGCCACGCGTCGTCCGCGCTGGCGTGGCTGCGGCGCTGCCCTCTTCTTGTTGCGGGGTCGCCAGGGCCGAGGCCTCGCGGCGGGAGGCGTCACCGAGGATGGTCTTGATGTTCTTGTTGCGGCGCTGGTTGGGTTTCCAGGACGGGTTGCGGAAGCTCTTGTGGATGGAGTGGATGTCGAGCTCGTCGAGGAGGGCTTGGTGAGCTAGTTGCGCCTCTGTAGCTTCTTTCGGGGCCGCCATTTTAAACGTAATGTGGTATCGTGTGGTTTGGGGTTTTCAAACTGCGATGATACGGCTGTACTGTATCAATTGGAGGCGGTTGGCTGCTTGCGCAACAGAAGGGAAGCAGTGGCCGGGTAGCTTATTCTGCCGTTTCTCACCGCAGGGCGGGAGCTCGGTGTGATCGGTGAGTTGTGCCTACCTTAGAGCGCTGTTCGAGTTAAGTCATCTACGATTACGGTGGGGTACTTGTTACTGAGTAAACAAACACACCACAACCACAAATACGTGCGCAACAAAAATGGTATGATACCGACCATGGTCGCTTATAGTGCAGCTGGACAGACATATTAATGCATAGAATAGGAGAGTCCACACGAGCACCAACAGAACCTGCTGCTTTCTCGCATCATTACCAATGTGGTATGTCGTTGTCTAGTAACCAAAGGTCACCACGGCTTACACAATTCTAGGAGAAACTCAACGAGGCCGTTATGGTCATGAACAGGTCACTACAGGTAAGTCGTCTTTTCTCTATTCTTGCCAATTTTGCGTGGCTGATGTCAGGTTTAGGAGATCAACATTGAGAACATGAATGTCGAGCTCGTCGCTCAGATGTTCAAGAACTACCAGTCTAATGTCTTGTTCCATCTTGAGGGTACGTTTCTTGTCATTATGCAGACCTTCGTGAAGCAATTTTAACACTGGACCAGCTACGGACAACCTGAAGCCGCCTGCCTGAGCATGGCGGAACTCGTCGTTAGGTGCTGGGTGTATGGATGAGGAATGAGACAAGACTGATGACATTTCCGGCGCACTTCACGAGCCATAGAGCAGATACCCACCGAGAAGCCATAACTGGAGGATTGCTTCGGAATCCTGAATTGACCGCATTTCCCACCCTTCTTCAAATGGCCATGATTAAAGGCAGTCGCAAGTTTGGCAGACCTAAAAGTGAATGTGGTCGTGTCCATTTTGAACAAAACACCGAGGTGCGAGACGTTGGTTGCACTTGATTCACTCACATAGTACTACTTACTTTGCTACGCTAAGATCGCGTAGCTGCGCTGCAACCCGAGCAGCACAAGCCGGTAGGGGTCCACTGAAATTTACAGCCTCGCAGCCTCGCAACAACGGCGCATCGTAACTTCATCAACCGTAATCAAGTAGACGCATTGAACGCGACGCACGTGACGTAGACGCTCCCTACCTTAACGAACCTTCCCGTTGAAGACGCCGCCAGCTACACAGCTTCGAAATTCATCATATACTGCCCGTAAATCCCCGAAGCATGGTCCGTCGCACTGCGACACCCTAGACCTTTCCCAACACACGAACATCGCGATGGCGCCCTCAGCTACGGGCGAGCTCCCTCCTCTGCCAGGACCTCCCGAGAGGACGTACCCTCCAGCCAAAATCTTCCAAGTCAAGGAAGCTAAGTTCGAGAAGCCGATCCCGGTACAGCAGGATGGACGGGAGAAAGCATTGGCGCAGTCCTCCCGAGGCGCGGCCATTGTAATTGACAATGGTAAGCTCGCAGGCGTTCCGAAAACGCATGTGGCGGAGCGGCTGTCTGACTGACTGTCAATAGGATCTTCGGCCGTCCGCGCAGGATGGTCATTCGAAGAGAAGCCGAGACTCAACATCCCACCGATCATGGCCAAATACCGCGACCGAAAAGCCGGAAAGACGTATTCCTTTGCAGGCAGCGACTGCTACGCCGACACGACTGCGAGGAGTCATACACGTTATGCGCACGAGCAAGGGACGGGGATCGTGAGCAATTGGGATGTCATGGAGCATGTTTTAGACTACATCTTTCTCAAGCTCGGCTTGAACGGAGATGATGCATCCATCGACATGCCCATTATCATGACGGAGGCGGTAGCCAACTTGCCGTACTCCCGGAAATGTAAGCTGGCCTATCGCAGCATGGGAAGACCAACAGCTAACACATCTATAAAGCCATGACAGAAATCATCTTCGAATGCTATGGCGCGCCCTCCCTAGCATACGGCATCGACTCCCTCTTCTCGTACACACACAACAAAGGAAACACGGGCATCGTAGTTTCGTCATCCTACACCTCAACACACGTGATACCCGTTTACAACCACAAGGCCCTGCTGAGCCAAGCCACGAGATTGAACTGGGGAGGATGGCATGCGGCAGAGTACCTGCTGAAGCTGATCAGGCTCAAGTACCCTGCTTTCAACGGGAAGCTCAACGTGTCCCAGGCAGAGCACATGCTCCGCGACCATGCCTACGTTTCAAAAGACTACAACACTGAGTTAGGAGGCTACTTGGATTGGACTGGCCTTGAAGACCGGGACATTGTCATCCAGTATCCCTTTACAGAGGAGGTCATTGTGCAAAAGACGGAAGAGGAGTTGGCCCGTATTGCTGAGCGGAAGAAGGAGAGCGGCAGGCGGTTACAGGAACAAGCTGCGAAGATGCGCCTCGAGAAGCTGATGCGCAAGGAGAACGAGCTCGAACAGTACAAGAAGCTCCAGGTCAAGCTGGAGCAGCAGACCAACAAGAAGGAGGTCAGGCGGCTGCTCGATAGCAACGACCTCAAAGATGAAGCTGCTCTCGAGAGAGCCATCGCCACCCTTGAGAAGGCGGTCAAGAAGGCGCGCACAAAGGACGTTGGCGGTGACCCTGCAGAGGAGCAGCAAGAGCCAGTCTTCGACCTGCTCGACGTACCAGACGAGGAGCTCGACGATGCCGGCCTCAAGGCCAAGCGCCAGCAGAAGCTTATGAAGTCCAACCACGACGCGCGCGCCCGCGCCAAGGCCGAGAAGGAGGCCGAGAAGGCCCGCGTCGAGGAGGAGAAGCGGCTGGACGTGGAGCGCCGCGAGAACGACCTTGAGGGCTGGCTCGAGGAGAGGCGCCAGGCGCGCGAGGTGACGCTGCAAAAGATGAAGGAGCGCGAGCGCCTCAAGCAGGACCTGGGAAACCGCAAGTCGCTCGCCTCGCAGATCCGCATGAAGAGCATCGCCAACCTCGCGTCCGACAACCCGGTCAAGAAGCGGCGCCGCGGCGGCGACGACGACAATTTCGGACAAAACGACGACGACTGGGGCGTGTACCGCCAAATCACCGTCGGCGACAACAGCGACGACGAGCAGGAAGAAGAAAACCTCGAGGCGAACCTCAAGACGTACGAGGAGGACCTCCTGCGCTACGACCCGGATTTCGGCTACGAGGACACCCACGAGGCCAAGACGGACTGGTCGACGTCGATGCTTCACGCTTTCGCGCGCGGCCCGCGGCCCTTTGACGCCGGCTCCCAGGCCGAGCTGAACCAGATCCACCTCAACGTCGAGCGCATCCGCGTGCCCGAGGTCGTCTTCCAGCCGTCCATCGCCGGCGTCGACCAAGGCGGTCTCATTGAGATTGTCGGCGACATACTTAACCAGCGCCTGGGCGGCGTGTCGAACCGCGACGATTTCCTAAAGGACGTCTTCCTCACGGGCGGCAACACGCTCTTCCAAGGCTTCGACGAGCGTCTCCGCGAGGGGCTGAGGCCTCTTCTCCCGGCCGGCGCGCCGCTCGCCATCCGCCGCGCCGAGGACGCCCTCCTCGACGCGTGGAAGGGCGCTGCCGGGTGGGCTGGGTCGGATGCCTGGAAGGCTGCTACCATTACGCGGGAGGAATATCAGGAGAAGGGCTCTGAGTATCTCAAGGTAAGTTCACCCAAAGCCGTTCCCCCCTATTTCTGAAACTAGACAACAGACTGACACGATGTGATTATAGGAGCATGACCTGGGCAATACTTCATATGTATAATTACTTAACCAAAGGAGAGAAAAAAGAGATCACGGACGATGCGGGCGCTTTGCAGCAGTGGCGACTTATTTTACGGCTTAGGGAACGGGACGTCTCAAAGGGGTGAGGGCAAGAAAGGATGGGAGAAATTCAAATGCCGGGCCTTTCATGTCAACGTATCTTTACATTTTACACGTCCTTCTTGCTAGTCTGCCACCAGTTTTATTGACGAGAAAAAGCCAAACTTTGCCATTTCTTCATGACTTCTTCGGCATGCTCAGACCTACGTCCGTTTGCATTTCCGCGTGAGTGCAGATTGAGACGAGCTCCTTAGCTGCGTGAATGATGGGGTCAGAACGATGACATCCATATAAGGCCATGCAAAACAGAATTTCTGCGGAGACTAATCTGTAATGAGACTTTCGAACGATGCCTAGGTCTTTCCTCGGCTTCATGGCAATAAAGCATTGTCCGAGGTTATGACCATGGGCTCCTTCCTCGATGTACATTTGCGTGTAGAACCGAGGGGGGCACATGACCAAAAATCAAAGACAAAGCCGGAGCTCGCCTCGAGGTTCCTATCAAGTTCCCATCGGGCCCTCAAATCTCCACCCTTTGACACTCTTCACTTCTCGTGTCAATGTTACAAGCACGAATTCCCTACATCATCTCTCTTTTGAAGAACTCAAACCCGAGGGCATTGCAAACAAAACACCCGCAACGGGTGGATAGAAGCCATGCCGGTAACGCCAGTCCACTAGTAATATCTTGACAAACCATTGTACCGCAACGCCAGCGACGTGAAAACCATGATTCAAATGCGACGCGCCCTCGTTTTCTCGGTGCGCTCACATGGATGCAGTCGGAGCCGGAAGGCCATCCGGTAGCGATGGGTCGACGGGTCCATCAGGCTCACGTTGCGGCTCCTCCTTGGTCACCGCCTCGGGCCTTGTGAACTGGTCTCTCTGCGCAAGCTGCTCCTGTGCCTGTAGACCGGCTACTGCCTGCGCAACGGCCTCAAGAGGACCAGCACCCGCATTGCTAGGCGGGGCTTCAGGACCACTTGTCGGGACCGAAGGAGGCGGGAGTGCAGGTTGCTGGAGGTTGACATTGGGCGGCGGCTGAGGGATTTCGGTCTGAAGATCGAGCAAGCGCGACTGGAGGTGAATCACGTACTCGCGCAACGCGTAGTTCTCTGACTGCATCGTCTTGTACTGTCCCTCCATTTCCATATAGTCTCTAACTTGCTGTTCAAGCTTCTTGATGTATCCCTCCTTTCGCTGACGGAAAGCTCTCTGTGGCGCATTCAAGTTAGCTCAAGCTCATCATCAGGTCGCATTGAAGAATTAATTTGGGGTGGGCGCGCCGGATGCAATTGGCGCTGTCGCAGTGATTGGTCGATGAGCCAGTAATGGTGTCCCATGTATAAAGAGCACTGCGACAGTCGTCTGCGACACGCGCGAGGCGTATTACGCGCCATTGACCCAGCACACCTTCCCAATTGTTATTATCGTACCTGGGCAGCTCGGTTCTGCGCGGCGCGCTTGGATTGTGACAATTCGCGCTTAGCTTTGCGACCCTCCGCGCCGTCATCCAAGTCCATTTCTGTAGGAGAATGGGTAGGAGGCGCAGTGGAAGGACCGGCAGCCGTCGCGGGGGGCGCGATTTGCTGCTGCGGTTGAGGTGGTACACCAGCGGGCATCATGTTGACGACTGGGGCGTGCGTGATTCGAGCTCGGAGGTCAGGGTGGATATGCGCTTCCGGGTCGGCCTGGTTATTAACTATCGGCGGCAAGACGTCAGTGGGCGATGTAGAGCCGTTACTATAGCCATGTGCCGGCGGCGGTGGTGACGCGGTCAAAGGGTTGGGAGCTTGAGGGCGAGCTCCACGAGCTGGGCCGGTCGCGTTGTCTGTCGAGCCGGGCGCGGTGTGCTTGCTTAGTAGCTCAAGCTGCGCGCGCAAGTGGGCGTCTATGGACAACACATATCATGTCAGCAAGCAGTGTTCAGGTTCGGTATAAATCAAAACTCGTCATCAACAGCAAGTGAGATTCAGGGACCGTTTTGGCTTGAAAAGGTAAGATAAATCGAGGCTCGAAAGACTTGAGATTTTGGTGTTGTCGCCTGAGCAGCAGGGATATGTGGGGATGGAAGATGCGCCGTGAGACGATGGGAGAAGGTTTGAAAATGGTCCATTCGACAGCCGCATAAGCCGGATTTCTGTCTTTGATTCGGTCTGCCTCTGTTTCAAGCTTCTGTCCATACAGAAACGAACGAGGGCAATCATGTATCTCAGACAGCAGCTGGCCTGCAGTAGTCGCTGATAGACGGGAAGCTGATGGGGGAAGGGAAGTGATTACATATCAACGCTGGCAAGAGGTAGCCAGGCCTCTCCTGGGATATAGCAGGTACTGATGATTGTAACGTAGTTTAAAGTGAGAAGAGGGTTCGTCTCACTCAAAGTACATGAGATCCGAGCCAAGTACAATGTACTGAGTAGTAAATGAAAGATGAGGTAAGGCAAAAGGCTAGGACAGCTGCCGGAGGGCGGATTTGCGAAAGAGGTGGAAGAGGGAGAGAGGGCAAAGGTCAGAGAGGAACGGTACGGGATCGACGGGGTTTGGCAGAGCGCTCGCTGGTCGGGCGAAACGGCGAGTTGGTGGGATGAATAGAACAGGACATGAGGATAGGGATCGGGAAACAGAGAAATGAGAAACGAGGAAGGTGAGTAGTAGCTTACCTGTGTTAGTGGTGGTATTCGCAGAGGACGAGGGTGAAGCGCTCTGCATCTTCAAGCTCCGGTTCTGACTCAGCATGAAGGGAACGGAGGATTGATTACTACAGGCACCCGACCAGGACTTATAAAGAGGGCCCGGATGATGAGACTGGATGAGACGGAGTACCGATGCGGCAGTTCAACGAATGTTTAGGTAATCGTCTGCGACCTTAGCGCGTCGTAGAGGAGGGGAAACCTGACGAGGGTGTGGGTAATTTGTACGCGGTAACGTAAGGTATTCCGTAGGTACCGTACCTGTTCCGGTGAGGTAAGGGCCCAAAGTATGAGGTGAGGCGGAGGTAATGGGAGGTAAGAGAAAGGTCGGGTCGCGCAGCTTGGACCTCTTTTTTTTTTTTTTTTTTCGTGTGTAATCCGCGGCAGAAGCATGCAATCTGCGTCGGGTCTGATCTGCTGCTTGGGTTGGTGACTGGTCCGCTTTCTCCAGGTGCAGCCAGGTGTACCGTGTGGGAGAAGCTTTCCGAGCAGAGGTGGTTGGAGAAGCACGTTCGACGCGTTGAGTGTATCGAGTTGTCCTTGTTTTTGTTCTTGTCTGCCAGTCTTTCTGTCCAAGGAATTGCAATGGGAAAAAAAGGATCCAAGGTGTTGGCCGAGTGGAAGAGAGCAGAGACGAAAAAAACCGCGTGGCTGGGAATGAAGGATTTGTTGGTTGTTTGATTGATTGATTGGGAGAGAAAGAAGAGGGACGCGACGAGGAGGAATCTCGGTAGGGCGGAGGCAGGCAGGTGCAGGCAGCTCATTGCTTCCAGGTTGTCGGGGGAAGGCAAGGTGCTTTGGCGTGTGTACCTGCTTTGAGCTTGCCGTGTTCCTTTCCTCGGTACGTACCTGACCTCACTCCTGCAAGTCCTACTCACCCCGACCCGATGTGAGGTAGGTACCTTAGGTACCTTCCAGTGTGCCGTCAAGCGGGATGAGGAAGGTGACTGAAAGTGCTCCCCGGAGCCGACGGGGCCAGGCCAGGAAACACCCCGACCACCTTAGTCAACACAGGAAGGTCCCATGAGAGCAGGTGGCTTTGCCTTGGAGATGAGGTAAGAATGCAGGTAGATTATCTGTGTTGTAAGTCAAGCTCTCGCCCGACGAAGAAACGAAAGATCTCGACCTCGAGCCATAGGTAAGCAGGTAGGCCAGAGCTGCTTGTGAGCCTGCCAATCTGCGCAGATTGACACTGAAACTACTCCGTACCTTGCCTCACCTATGTGCTTATGTGCCAGGCTCAGAGCTGAAAGCCCAAACTCTGAGCTGAAAGCATATGTGCTCGCACCACGACAGCTCATTTACATCTGCGGTGTAGCCTTACTTTCTCCTTCGGGCGGCGCTGGCGAAGATGCTGTGTCAGGCAGCACGACTCTGCCACGTGATTCCAACCGGTGTGCCTCGCTGGATATTGTCTTCTGTTGCTATTAAGGTACTCACCATCCCTATCATCATCTCTCTTCGTACTTCCATCCCATAAGAGTGAGGCAGTCCTCCCCGCCTAGCTACCTACCAGTGAGTAAATAGCACATGATACGGAGATAGGAGAAACAGGGGCGGCAGGAACAAGATTGCGGAAGCACGTTGTAATCAGCTGTCCGGAGTTTGTGGTCAGCCGCGGACCAACGACAACTCATTCCCCAGAGGATTCATTCCATGTTCAAGTCGATGTCGTTCATGAATCCGAACAGTCAGCAAGCCTGGTTTGTCAGCATTCAGGAAATGGCACGTTCCGAGTTGCGATAATTCATCCACAGACCACAGGGAGGAAGACTATTTGCGGGCCACACTGGCCTACAACTTGCGGTCTACCGTAACTTACATCATCCAACGAATTTCTCCACAGGGACTAACCCAACAACAGAGGCTGCTTGTGATTGGAAGGGCGACGCGACGGACTTTACGAAATGGCCGATGACAGGCAGGGCGAGACGACTGGAAAAGTCGCCGGAGCCACTCGGCACCCTAGCAGGCCGCAGACAGCAGACCAGAACGATCGTGGAAGAACTTTGCCTTTGCCGAGTACCTTATTCCCGCAAATCCGACTCATATGAGAGGTGAGTGAGTGTAGAAGCAGACTGAGGGAAGGTTGACAGTCAAATAATTAGCCGACCCCTCAACGGAAGTACCAAGCTTGAGTAGGAAACATCCCGCCGAAGCACGCATGGCTTGCGCCGGGCAGCAAAAACTACTTGGAGGGTACGGATGTTTGACTAAGGCATGGTAGGCAACTCGTACAGTCGTATCCGTACGTACGGAGTATTGCTGCCAGGAAATCCCTCTTTTCCTTCCCATGCGTGCCATGCGTGCCATGCTGAGGTGGAAAGCGGGAGGAAGGGATGGGGGTACTTACGGTATGCGGGCTTTCCTCGGTCAACACGTACCGCGACTCCCGGTGTTTGACTTACATAAGCCCAATGGCTTGGCGCGTCTGGCATGCGGCACCAGATGCCCTGTGCTGCAGCTTTGGCGGAGTCTGTGCGCGGTTCTGGAAGACAACCGTGACAACACACACACGGCCCTTTTTTGATCAACCAATGACATATTACACGTATGGTGATGCGTCCCATCTGCTGTCGTCCCCCTTTGGATTTGCTGCTGGCTTGTCATCGGCGAATCGAAATTTGGAATTCAAGAAGAGACGCTTTCAATATTGCGAGTCTGTTCTTTCTTTACTAACGCAAGGTAGGGTTTCTGCTTAACCAGGCGTCTGCCAATATCGCATGATGTAGCGGTAGTCCGCGCGCCCTTCAGTCAGCACCACTGAGTTGACTGTAACGTTGCCCAGTCTCTCTTCTTCAACATGAAGCTTGAATTTGCGAGTGCTCAGTGCGGCTTCATGCAGCTCGACGCTTTGGAGAGCATCTAGTGAAGATTCCGAAGCTATCGACATGCTACGATCAACCTCCACCCTTACCTCACATCCCTCCACAAGTTTGGATTGATGAAATTGGGCAATGGAGTGCGGCTTGGGAAGTGCAGCGTGGACTAGGATCATTACACCGCAGTCAACATCGGTATGCTACCGAATAGTACCTAGCCGAACGATCCTCCAAAATCACGGCTTCTTACGCGGTTCCTACAGACCATCCACCGTATCCGTATTCTATAGAGTATATACGGAAAGGGACAACGGGCGGTATGTGGCTGTGATAAGGCACTTGATCCGGTTATATCTGGGCGAGCAATTCATCTACTGAAGTAAAACCAGCATATCGATACCTTCAATAAAAAAACAAGGTTTATATATGTATGGTGTCGTTCAGGGAGCTATCAGTTGAGCTGACGATCGACTTATATACTCATCACTGATCAGTGACCGACCCTTGCAGTCTGAGGTATGCTGCAAGCATCCTCCCGACTATCATGAAGACTTGAACAACTTGCCCCCTTTCCAGACGTGGGTGATGTTCTCCTTGTCGGTCAAAATCTCGATATCCTCGAGCGGATTCCTCGCAACAGCAATCAAATCCGCATCATACCCTTCCCTAACCTGCCCACTCAGCGGCGCCATCCCGCCCAAGACCTCGGGCGCGTTCGCCGTGCCGGCCTCGATGGCCTCGAGCGGCGTCATGCCATTCTTCACCGCCCAGTACAGCTCCCGCGCATTCTTCCCGTGCGCCAGCGGCTTCGTCCGGTCGCTGCTCCACGTGTCCGTCCCGAGGGCAACTTTAACGCCTCTCCCGATGGCAAGCTGATACGAGTCCGTCGCCCTCTGCACGAGCTTCACCAGCTTCCGCGCCAGCGGCGGCGGCAGCTGCGACGGGTCTGAGGCCAGCGTCATGATGGCGTGCTGCGTCGGCACAAACACGGCGTCCCGCTCCAGCATGAGGTCGACGGCCTCGTCGTCGAGGTAGCACCCGTGCTCGATGCTCTTCACACCCGCGCGCAGAGCGGCCATGATGCCCGCTTTCCCGATGGCATGAGCGCCCACGGCGCGCCGGCTGCGGCCCGCTTCCTCGACGATGGCCCGCAGCTCCTCGTCGGAGAACTGCCTGTCCTCCGGGTCGTCTAGCAAGCTGAGCACGCCGCCGCTAGAGCAGATCTTGATGCAGCGCGCGCCGCGGCGGACGAGGAGGCGCACCTGCTTCGTGCAGTCCTCCGGCCCGTCGGCGATGGAGCAGGCGCCGCCGCCGCATTTGGCAAAGTCGAGGACCGTCTGGATGGGGAGGGTGTGCTGGTCGCCGTGGCCGCCGCTGATGGACATGGCGGCGATGGAGGAGTAGACGTTGGGGCCCACGAGGCGGCCCGAGTCGATTCCGGGGCGGAGGTCGCCGGCGTAGCCACCCAGTTCGCGGACCGAAGTGTAGCCCGCCATGAGGGTGGCCTCGAGATCCTGGACGATGACGGCGCCGATGAGGGCGTTGGAGCCGGGGAGGACGTTGAAGATACCGTCGCTGAAGCCGGTGACGACGTCGATGCCGAGGAAGTGGACGTGGACGTCCCAGAGGCCCGGCATGAGGACGGGGACGTGGAGGGGCGTGAGGGAGCGGTATTTTGAGGGGAGAGTGTCACGAGGGCCGACGTGAATGATCTTGTCGTCTGAAATGGCGACGGCGGCGTCGTGTACTGGGATGCCGCGGCCTGGGATGAGGAGGTCGGCGGTGATCAGGGTGATGGCCGTTTCTGCTTCTGGCTCATTCTGTCCTTGTTGTGAGGCCGTTGTCTGGGTTTGTTGGGTGTTTGACGGTATAGTATCCGTTGGTTTCGGGTTTGATATAGACTGCTGCATCTCGTGAGGTCGATGTGGTACACGCATCTTGAACGACTTGCACGGCGTCCAAGGACTATGGCTGTCTAGGTCCCGAGTAGACTTATTCTCAATGGAAAGGTACTAGCAGGCGCACGCAATTGAGCTGAAGTTGCAAACAATTAGCCAAGTTAAAGCTACTTGAGATGAACTTAGAGAGTTGTGTATCTTACATCATGAAAGTCTATGTTCGGGTCGTCATCATTTAGTCAAGGTTGGATATGTGTGGTTTGGTGAGCGCGGGGTAGCGAATCCTGACCAGTCTGCAATCCACCATGCTACCAACCTCCTCCACCCCGGTATCCGGGAAACAGGCAGCGTTCTCCTGACATTGGCGCTTAAGCTGATAATGGATTGTCGCTGCAGATACGAGCAGGGGGATGCGATATAGCGGTGCGGTCTGATAATCGACCTTCCAAAAGTAGGATCGCAGAGGTGAGCTCACCTTAAGACCGATATATGCCCTTTGCGCCAGCTTTGGATACTTTGTAGCTAGTTTTTGTACCTCGACTCTGCCTTTTGCTAGTATTTGAGCCCCATGGTCTTCATATTTGACACATTCTCTGTAATGTCAGCCCTTGTTGTTGACTTCTGTCGTTCTCATCATCCTCCTAATGCTTATCTTGCTAACATGGTGTTGATAAATATGGAGTACTTTGGGGCAGGGAGAATGCAAGAGAGGTTCCATAGAAACTAATCCTCCAACGCGTGTCTCTATCACTAAGTGATACTGGCTTCCAACTCATCCCAAATGTCAGGGTTTCTGAATAGTAGATTGATCTATTGATTTAGCAAGCAAATAACACTTGGACTTGGAGCCAACCCATCTCAAAGTTCGAGTAGACTACCTCTATGAAAGAATCCATTCTACCAGGCCTGGATAGTACATTCATTCAGCCTATCGAATGACCCATAGACCCTATGATTTTTAAGACTTCTTGAGAAAGACTAGAGCCAACTATCTTGGCATAAGCATCTTAAGTGTATTAGAGACGTGGTCAGCAGATTATTGCAGATGTCGAGCAATATCAACTGTTATGAGGCAACCTTATCCATCTCATGTGTCTCCACATAAGCTCGACCGCAAGTGCCTATGACAGGGGTACACCTCTAACAACACCTCAAGCTTCAACCACCACACCATAATCCTACATCTGCGACTCAACTACAAGAACAACGTCACTCAAGTCCATCGCAACAAACACACCCTCGGAGATGAGCAACCCAGCCCGTACCCTCCTCCGCCGCATCGCACTTTCTACCCGGCGACCTCTCACCTCGGCACCATCCCGGCTCTCAAAAACAGCAGCATTCCCATCACCCTTACAAAACTTCACCCAGCAGCAGTCCGCACCGCGATACCGGAGAACAATGTCAACTACAACCACCACCGCCGCGTCCATGCCGCGCTTCTCCAAGGGCTCTGACGAGTCTTCCCTCTCCTCGACGCTCGAGACGCTACTGGGACAGGGCCGGGGCTGGGCGCTGGTCAATGACGGCGAGGCCGTCGAGCGGAGCTTCAAGTTCAAGAACTTTGCAAAGACGTGGGTGCGTATTATTATCCCATCTCTTTTCTGTACTTGCATGTCTCCGTGTGGCCAAACATCAGGCCATCATGTTTAATGATAATTCGTCTGAGGAAACATGAAATCGATTGCTGACGAGTGAAAAGGACTTCATGACAGCCGTGAGCCTACAATGTAAAATCCACAATCATCATCCAGAGTGGTCAAACGTGAGTTACAAACACCCTATCCTTCTCAAGAAAATCGAGCGAGGAGTCTCCAAAATCATAAAGACTAAAAAGAGAGGCAGGTTTATAACACCACCTTTATCCGGTGGACGACACATGTCCCCAAGGGCCTGTCAGACAAGGACCTCAAGCTCGCTCTCATCTGCGACGCGCTGGCAAAGGACTTTGGCGAGGTTGAGGTGCCGGCTTCCGAGGCCACCACTGGCGCAGAGGCCGTGAGCTGCGGCATCCGGGGGTTGGCTGACAAGGCGGCGGGCACGGCTGGGGACTGCTGCACGCCGAAGAAGTGATGTGGCCTCGGATAGTCAGCCTCACTTCGGATCCGAGGTCCCGGGGGGGTTCAGTTATTCTCCTGATCACCAAGTCACTGTTACAATAGTCCTGTACAACAAATGTTAATACACAAAGAGAACATGCAAGCCATATAGACCAGGGTATAAGAAGAACGAATGTTGTGCTATGATTAAGTAATCTACTACAATGCCAGTTGTATGGGCGGCCTTCCCAATATATACGACAGAATTCGCATAAGTGGTTTCGTCTTTTTTTCGCACAACCGTCAATACCTCTTTCAAACGCCGCCCCAATGATAATTACGTGACTTTGATGGTATGGCCTCGGTTGTCCGGGCCCGTGTCGTGTCGCTTTCCCTTGCGGTATTCCTTTCCTGCCGCGTTCTATACATCGTATCATGAGACACCACCCCGCGGCCGGTGTGTCCAGCAACGCGCTCTCAACCACAATTCGTGAGCGCGTCCGTCATTCTCTTCTCCCAGGGCATACACGCATGGCCATGGTGCTTGACGATGTGCGTACCATATATCGAAAAAAAAGGCCTCAAAGCCGCGGCGAAAGGCGGCTTTACTGAGACTTTTGCGCCTTGATGGCCTGGATCTTCTTCTCGCGGCGCTTCTTGTGGGCCTCAAGACCGGCCTCAGTGTCGAGGCAGTAGTCCCACCAGCGGAAGCTGGAGGCGTAGTTGCCAATGAACTTCTCATGGTGAAGATCGTGGTGATCGGCACCGGCCCAGAAGGGCAGGAAGTGGCGCAAGCTCCAGGGGAAGTCGTAACCGCTGTGGGCGTCGATGGCCTGGAAGAGACGGAGGACGATCCAGGCGTACATGGTCAGGAGGTGGAGGTCGCCGGTGAGGGTGACCCAGAAGATGGGCGAGCCGACGATTCCGATGCCGAGGAGCATGACTTCGATGGGCGAGGCGTACTCGGCGGCGAGACCGAAGGGCGCAGAGTAGTAGTGGTGAAGCTTGTGGATCGCCTTGTAGAGGGGGCCGTAGTGCAGGGCGCGGTGGAACCAGTAGTGCCAGGTATCCTCCATGACGAAGAAGATGGAGATTTGCATGGCCATCTTCCAGAGAGGAGGGAAGGGGACGTTGTACTCCATGCCGCACCACGTGGCGAGGGGGTGGAAGAGCCAAATCTGGGGGAGTTCGACGGTGAAATGGCTGATGAGGACGACCATTGCGCAGTCCCATTGCTCCTTGAGTGTCGGCATTTTTTGCTACTTGAGCGTCAGCGTATACATCCAGAGTATTGTGATGACACGACGTGGAGGATTTGCTCACAGGTTGAATCTTGTACTTGTGGAACCAGGGGATGAGGTCGAAAATGATGAAGGGCAAACTGCGGCCGAAGTAAACGGTCTCGTGCATGACGAAGCTCATGATGCCAGTGGCGAGGGTGTCGTTCTGCATCCAGAGATACCAAGCCTAGAAGGAAGAAGTCAGCCGCATTGTAATTACGTTGGCTGGCACAGGCACGCGATGAGGTGTGAACATACGGCCCAGAGGCGCTCAAAGTAGTTAAGCTGGACATTGTACTTGGAAACCTCCTCAAGGACACTGAAGTACGGCTGCGTGTGGTTGAAGGCGGTGTTGATGACGGTCGAGTTGCTGTTTCGCACAAAACCAGGTCAGTGACTGTTCGCTTCAAGACTGTGTTCGAGGACTATAAAGGGGGCGCGCCGTGGATCGGGGAAATAACGGGGCCAGACTCACATGAAAGCGGCCATGATGGCGGGGAGCGCAAGTTTGCGACTTTGTGTGCTTCAATAAGTGCGGAATTACAGATGTGTACGAGGAAAGCCAAAGTTGGCAAAGAGGAAGCTGGAGAGGGAAAGAAAAGACAGTCGCAACTCCTTCAACAATGCGCCTAGGGTGGTGTTTAGGTGGCGATGGGAGGTTTAAGGGAAAAAAAGGACGGCGGGCGGCAAGGTCAAGGGTCCAGGGCCGGGTCTTGTTGAGGTTTTATCCATGGATCATTTCGGTTGACGGGGAAAGGAAATGGCACCTGCGTCTCTGGTGCTTGTCACCACGTAGAGAGAGAAAAAATACTTCCCTTACCTACTCAAGGTGACTTAATATTAGGTTAGATGTGGAATTGTGCTAGGTACCTTATGAGAACGCCCCTGTGCATCTCTCACCCTTTCTGGGCGACAGCGTGGGGACGTTAGTTGCGATTTGCCCATTCTTGTGCCATGAGCCAATGAGAAGCTGCACCTCAACATCGAACCATGCAGCTCGTGGGTCCTTCCGTCTTCCGTGGTGGGCTTTGGCCAGTAGGAACCAGGCGTGCCCTGGCGACTGGGTCGGGCGGTGTGCGAGATTTCGGGAGGCAAAAGGGTGTGTGACAGCTGCGCCAGGCGTTGTTGGCTCTCCCACTCTGCCAATCGTAGGGGGGCCGAGGGGAGGAAAAAGCCGAACAGGCGGGAGGCACGGTGCATGGAAACATTTCATGGATGGGACAAAGCTCCTTTCTTTCTTATGCTGTTTCTGAGATTCCATCAAAGCCAGACACCTGGAAGAAGGGACGTAGAGGTAAAACTTCTAACGAAGCCAAGCACTTGAACCAAGGTGGCGGTAGTCTAATTCGATGTCCATCTTTTCGAATCGGTCAGCTCTCAATTGGAGTTTTGAGCTGTGTTCAATGTCGGCATCATCTTCTCAGAAGAAGCACTTATGCATGAGAATTGCGCCCCGTTGCGGGCAATCAAAGGAGGCCGATATCAGTCATCCTCCAGGTGGGCAGAGCTGCCTTATCGCCCTGCATGGAACGCCTGGCATCTCGCACCTCGACTTTTTGGCTGCTGCGCTCACCTTAGCACCGGTACGTACCTTACCTCAACCCGAATACGATGAAGGAGGGGCACGTTTCCAGGTTGCGCGTCGCACGTCTTTGCCAAAGGAATTCGCTTTGGCCTAACGCTACTCGTTTTGCCCCCATTAGCTCCAACACAGGTGCTCAAAAACACAAGCCAGAATAATCTTCAATGACAGTGACATGCTCCACGTCTCCGAATCTACCACATCCGATTGCCGATGAGATCCATCTGACCTCCTCCACGGCGCAGCCCTGACCCAGCTGTCAAGAGACCCGGCCGTATCCACTGCTGGGACGCTCTGGCAGGGCGAAGCATGGGGTGCCGTGGATGCTCATGTCAAAATGGCGTGTTCCGGTCAAGCTTGATCCGATACATGTCTACCTTGAAAAGCCTGGCTTGGTATTGGCTGGCACTACTTACTTTTGTTCTTTGATATGTTTCCAATCGACAACAGTTCCAAAGTCATCGTCCATGTGGCAAGCACATGTTTAGGCCTGGAGCTTACGAGGCTTCCTCGTTATACATGAATAAGAAAGCCAGGCCGACAGGCTTGAGCTCTTATGTCAAACAAGCCTGTGGTTGCCACGAAACAGGCATCCTTAAGACATATAGGGCTGGCCCAATTTCCTGATACGTTGAACATCTAAACGCTACTGAATATGCAATATCTGATGTCGGAAAGTCCTTTGCGGTCACATACCATAAACACACCCGAAGCGCAGCATGGCCGGTGACCTCAAAGACCTAAGATCAGAAATTGGTCTTCCCGGTTCTTGGAACGAATCAAGAGCCAAGCCTATGGGAATGTTGTACAGCTCTTTGCAGCTACACATCGAATTGGACGTTGGCTTTCATGAGTAAAGGTGAGTTGCGACCTCTCATAACATGGCATTCTAATCTCGGTGTCGGCGAGGGTTTGATGTGCAAATGACGAGCGAGCTAGCTTCAGGCGGCGCAGTTGCAGGTCGCCATTGTTGAATGGTATCCATCGAGTATGTCAGTAAAGATATCTTCAAATTTGGAACTCATACGCTCCAGCATGACTACTGGCCACGCCTCTTTGGTGTGAAACGATCTATCTGTTCTGCATAACTTGGTAGGCCTACAGTCGGGTTGAAACCTGTCTGGACATAATCAAGGACCTCAAAGAACGGAGATGCCTTTGAGGAGCTCGAATAGCTGAGGCAAACGAAACTCTTTTGCTATAAATCCAAACAGGGCCTTTTCATAAGTAAAAGCAGACGCAGGATGATTAGCTCATCCTCAGCGAGAGGCACCATTCCGACAGTCAAGCTCCGTCAGCGGCGCTGGCTGACTAAGTGACCCAAGAGACCCCACCTGTCATCCCACGTTCTCTCCAGTCGCCGCTCACCGCGTTGTCGGCTGCAGGCTCGCCCAAGTTGCCCGGGGCATTCGCTTACCTGATGACGTCTAACCCAAACTTCTACTACTGCATTCTTCCATCGAATCCATCCTCACACGACTGCAATCCTCACAGTCTCGAGAGTTCGACACATAACCGATCCATGAAAGTGGAGGAGGAGTGCTCTCTGAGTGAGAAGCTATAATGTCTGTTGTTGCCGAGTCAGTATTCCGTCCCATCTTTCCTTGACTTCCCGTCATCCCAAACAAAACATTTGAATGTTGACATCAACCCTTCCCTGCACCTAGCCAAGTCCGCCGCTTAGATGCGCAGCTGGATCGGATTCCACTAGGCCTGAGTCTATCTCAAGAAGATGGCGAGCTGTCTGCCGAAGAGCATGGCATTTTTCACTCGGCCACCGTAGACGCCTTGTCGTCGCCAAGAATTGAGGAGCTCCTACATATTGTTAGGGCTCTGTCCACCACCTCAACTTCGTCATCTCTACTCCCCGCTCAGAGGATTCGTTCTCTACTGCAAGAATCCAAACTTGCCGAATGGGACTTCCAAGCGGAGCAGGATGACGAGGCCAGGCGAGGCCCGTACCAGTCGGAGATCGAGTGGCTACTCGTCAGCAAGGCTACCGTTCAGACTTATGGCATCATTTTGAACACACTTCTGGATCAGATTATTCCTCTCAGTGATGAGATGTGGTACTGGGACGAAGTGTTGAGCTCGTATACTTACAGCAGTCTCTACACTGTCCAAACGTCACCATTGCGTTTGTGGGCTTTGACCAAGGACGTTTATCACGAGAGCAAGCACCGAATTCGGAATCTCAGCCAAACGCCGGGCGATATTGTCGCATCCACTCGTACAGGATTATCGCAGCAATGGAAACAGTTTTACGGCATCGTACGGGACAGCATTCGGGACTCATCGATCACGACCCTTCAGCGCAAGGTCCTATCGCCTGTGGCCCTTAGCCGCGGCGAGGCTCGGAGGAAACTGGCGCATCTCAGGCGCTTGCGGGATATGATTGCAAGCGGTCTTGGTGTGCTCGTCGATGAAGGTTTGACTTTTGGAGGCGACGAAGACGACGATAAGAGCGAAGCCGGCGTCAACAGCCATGACTGGAAAGGCGTGGTTGAGCGAAGCGTGGCTCTCATGGACATGGTCCTTAAGGAGGCCTTGACTCTCGAGTCCGGTGTCAACGATTTCGAGGACAAGGTGTTCGCTGGAGTCGAGGAAGACCCCGAGCTTAGCATTCACATCGAGGACGCCAACGCTCTGGAGAAGCCCTCTGTGCTCGCTAGACGTCTTCTCAACCTTCTGGATAACGGCCTCCCCAACCACGTCATGTCTGCGCAGCTGCTTGTTCAAGAGAACGGCCGTCCGTCAAGATTCATCCGATACTGGTTGCCTGCAACAGCAGCACTGCTTTCTTCGACGACTGTCCTTCGACTTCTTGCCAATAGGCGCGCAGAAATAATCAGCTGGATTCGGGACATTGGATCTACGGTACGAGACTTTTGGTTCAACTGGGTTATCGAACCGACACGCAAGATTGTTGGAACTATTCGACACGACTCGAGCAGCGAGATCGCCATCATGAGCCGAGACAGCCTGAAGGCCGATCGGGAAAGCTTGGAGCGCATGGTTGTGGACTTTGCTTTGGACAAGCCTCATTTTGCAGGAGACGGGTCCTCCCTTACCGACGCCCAGATTGAGATAATCCGCACCAAGGTCAGCGAGGGAGATGTCACCCCGGTTTTGCGTGCGTACGAAAAGGATCTGCGGACCCCCTTTGTCGGTGCGGTGAAGGGCGACCTCGTCCGATCACTGCTCATCCAAGTGCAGAAGACCAAGGTCGACCTGGAGGTGGCCATCAGCGGCATCGACTCTCTCCTCAAGAGCCAGGAACTGGTGTTTGGGTTTGTGGGTCTGACGCCTGGTGTGCTTGTCTCTATTGGCATTGTTCAGTATCTTCGCGGCATCTTTGGTGCTCGCAAGGGAGCCCGGCAAAGCCGCAAGACTGGACAGAGCATCAGAGTGCTGCGCAACATTGACCGGATCTTTTCAGAGGCGACGCCGTCTCAGAACAACCTCCTCTCCTACAAGGACCACGGCCTCCTGTTGTGCGAAGTCCACGTGCTGCGCAACTTGATGCAGAGAGTGCTGCCTCGCGACAGGCAGCGTGAGTTCCTCGAGGATTTGGATGATCTCGCCAACCTGAAGGGGATTCAGGTGCAAGTTAGAGCTTTGGATCGCATTCGCTGGGCGTACGCCAGGTGGCTACAGTAAAACAACGCAGGACGGAGAACCTCGGGCGCAATAATGATTCGCATGGATACACGGTCTTACGGATTTGAGCTTCAGCATTCAGGTTACTTTACTACGCACAGCGGGAACGGCCTTTTTCGGTGGAACCTGTACCACATCTGTACACCACTGGAGGCATTCATGAATTGTCAACGGAGCATCGCACATTGGTACCGGAGCTTAGCAGGCGGCATTTGTCACTAGGAAAGGTGTTTAGACCAAAAGTTGAATTGAAGTGCAATTGAACGGGTGACGTATTGGCTAACGAGTGAACATGAGGGAGGCTCAACAATGTCTCTTGTGACCATGGAACGACCGCCACCCAACATGCTCGGGTGACGGGCGCGTGACCCAGTTCTGGATGGATCTGGACCTGGACCCTGAGGCGAGACAGTGCGATGACGTTTGGTGTGGCTTCGTAGGTAGGTAGCCTCCTGAGTCCTGACAAGTCTGGCAAAGGCGGGAGACCGAGCACATTTGGCAGTAAAAGGGGTGTGCAGTGCCACGGCAGAGACAACGCATCAAGTTTTGAGATAACGACTAGGTTGGTGGACATTTCATTACCTGGTGGCTGAGGTGTTGTTGGCATATCGCTTCTTTGGTGAGCGAGCCTGGCAATACCCAGCCAGGACCGTCCACAGATGATTGCCATCATGGAAGTACGCTGAAGTGCTGCCCGTGTATTTGCTCCCCGAAATTTCACTTGGTGTTCTGCAGCAGGGTGCCTGGATCGACCAGGGAAGTTTTGCTTCTTTTAACCTTTCGCTCCCCTCCGACGCAGATCCGACGTCGTCGCGTCTTCTCTCCTTGGCGGGCACTGTGCCTTGGGCAACTTACTAGATACCGTGAGTCGTGACTACCTCAGCTATCTGATTTCACCGAGGCCTACCTTGCCTAGGGTAGTGCCGGAAGCAGTTGATTTGTGCCACTACGGATATCATCAGCGGGCTTGATTAGAACACTTTTTCGCAGCGGGATTCGCATTGCAGCAGGTACCGACTTCCCAGCCCAAGAGCGCTGTTACCTTAGGTAGCACCGCCAAGTCACCAAATCCCTCAGGCCCTGTCCCAGCACAAGCACAGGTCAAGTCGGATCGGTCAAGCAAGAGGACCGGGTCCAGTATCTTACCCCAGACGGCAGGCGCCACACTTGACCCCCCCAAAAAGACCAAGCGATTCGACGGTACCTACCTACCTACGTACGGGAATACGTACCTCTCCACAGTGTGCTGGACTGTACATTGCAGCGCCTCGCCTCGTCCGCAGCCCAGCACTTTACGTGCCTACCTTCACTATTCGTACATACTACTACTATTACCGCCTACCTAACTACGACAAACTACCTAGGCCCATCTCCTACCAACATCTCAATCGCCTCTCCCCCAACCGCTGCCCGAATCCGACGACTAGATCACGACAATCACCCTCTCTTTCGCGTCCTCCCGATCTCAACTTGTCTGGCACGTCCGTCGCCCGGAGCAGCAATACCGCCCTCTTCAGATCGGTCCCCTCGGTTTAGTCCCCCATCAACATCCGCCGCCAAAATGTCGAGCAACCGCAATTACGACTTCCTTGTACGTGTCGAATGCCGCTGCCCCTCCTTACCATCGTCTCGCCCTTTTCGCTCAGATGCCCTCACTCTCCTCGAACCCCGTCCTTTCGAACATGCTACTTTCCCCTTCCGCCGTGCGAATCATTATGAAGGGCAAACATGACATCGTGTTCACATGTGGCTGACCAGCACCCCAGATCAAGCTTCTGCTGATCGGCGACTCGGGCGTAGGCAAGTCCTGCTGCCTGTTGCGCTTCAGCGAAGACTCGTTCACGCCGTCCTTTATCACGACCATCGGTATTGATTTCAAGATCCGCACTATCGAATTGGACGGCAAGCGTGTCAAGCTCCAGATTTGGGATACCGCCGGCCAAGAGCGCTTCCGCACAATCACCACCGCCTACTACCGTGGCGCCATGGGCATTCTCCTTGTCTACGATGTCACCGACGAGCGCTCCTTCAACAGTACGTCGTTTCCACTTCTCTCACATTACAAATCACTTGCACGACTGCTGGCGGTTGTTCCTTGAACCGTGTACTGCAGTTGCCATTGCAAAGGGAACCGTACATGATAGGACAGACATATGAGAACAAAATACTAATGTGTGCTTTTCCCACGCAGACATCCGCACCTGGTTCGCCAATGTCGAGCAACATGCCACCGAGGGCGTCAACAAGATTCTCATCGGCAACAAGTGCGATTGGGAAGAGAAGCGTGTCGTCTCGACCGAGCGCGGTCAGCAGCTCGCCGACGAGCTCGGCATCCCCTTCCTCGAGGTCTCGGCCAAGAGCAACATCAACATCGACAAGGCCTTTTACTCACTCGCCGCCGACATCAAGAAGCGTCTAATCGACAACCAGAAGAACGAGCAACCCGCCGCCTCGGGCGTCAACGTCGGCGAGTCAAGTGGAGCCGGCGGAAAGTGCTGCTAAAGTAACGGAACGGGGCTTGGGCACGGGACCGCTCGATTTCAATGCTGTGTGTATTTTCCGAAAGCAAGATTTGATTACTTTGTGTCGATTCCGCGCTGCCGCCGGGGACAGCGACATCCTACAGAGGCACATGAAGACGCGCATGATAGGAGAGACAGAGGGAGAGAGACATGGGCATATGGGGCTTCACAGCGGGTCTGCCCGCCGGAAAGGACACGCAGAGAAACTCGGTGAAAGAGAGAGGAGGACATGACAGGGGCCAACCGAGAGGCAGGGCCGGGGCTTCCGGCCAGGCAATTGGCTGAGAAAGGGAAAAACTCGTGATGGGCCCGACCGGCTGGGCGTGCGTTGTGTGTGTGCTCGATGGACGAGAAACACGGCGGGCGCTCTCTCGCTCACCAATCTGCCCTCAGGCCCCCCCCTTCCCACGGGGAGAAACTACTGTGTGGTTATTTGTCATGTGGTTTCTTGCCGACAGCGCCTTTTTATCGAACCCCCCTAGAGAGCAAATATCTGGTCTGGAGTTTCGGGATTTTATTTCTGGGTTTTTATAATACATCCTTTTTCCCCCTCGGGTGCTCCCACTATGCTTGATGAAGTTGTACATTAGGAGGCGTTGGCCTTTTGATATATACATGCCCCCTACACATGCTCCTGGTGTATCTTACAAAGAGTTACTATACACTTTTCATCGACGGTCGCTGCTACTTGTGACAATTACCACACTACATGCGTGTTTACGATGACGCTCTGGTCATTCGTCAGGATAAGCTCCTTTTTATGCCACGCACGAACGAAGCGCCTCGCTTCGTGCACGTCCGGGAACGACACCACGAACCGGCCGGACGGGGCCGTCTCGTCCAGCGCGTCGGGGGTGGTGCCTCTCCGTCCCGAGTTGGCCTCCGTCGCCGCCGGAGCCGCGTCGTCTTCGTCGTAGACGAGGCCCTCCCCGGTCTCCGTAAGCTTTTCCGCCTTCGTCGCGGTTCTCTGGTGCACCTTGGGCGCAAAGTACGGACGCAGGTGCTGCACCGGCCAGCCCAGGTTGCGGTCGCGGGCGTCGCGGCGGATCCAGTGGGAGAGGCTGCGCTGGTCGAGGGTGCCGCCGTCGAGGGAGAGGACAACGTGGGCGTTTGCGCGCGGGGGCGGTTCGGGGGTCATGCTGAGGAGGCCTTGGATGCTGAAAGTCTCGAGGCGGGCCTCGGTGGCGCGGTTGAGTTTGTAGAGGTGGAGGTTTAGGGGCGTCTTGGAGGGAGGCGCGAGGCTAAAGACTGATGTTTGGGAGGCTGTGGAAGAGGTTTCAGCGGACGTCAGGCCGGCGGCGGGGGACGTTAGGGCACGGCCTGCGAGGGCGTGGAGGCGTTGCGCTTCGCGCTGGTACGCTGCTGCCGCGGCATGGGAGTCGAAGAGGATGAAGTAGCGGTCCATTGGTGCCAGGGTGCCGTAGTCATAGGCCTGCATGACCTTGGTGATGGAGGCGCTCCAGCCGTCGAGGTGCTGGCCCTGGGGGCCGATGCGGTAAAAGTCGGACTCCATGAGATTCGGGCTGGCGTTGGAGAGGATTAGCATGGCGGAGCGCTCGGCCTTGGCCAGTGCCGCCTCCTCCTCCTTTGGGGACGCGGCTTCTGAAGAGGCGGTGTTGGCGGCGTCGTCTTTAGGGAGGGAGTCGATCCAGGACTGGAGGTCGTTGTGGTCTACGGATCTCTCTTCGAATAAGTTCTGACCGGCCTGAGAATTCCTCAACAAGGCCTCGACGCCTCCTTTGCCCAGCACTGCTCCCGCCGCCGACTCTGCTTCTCCCGATCCCGGGGACGAGAAGAGCTCGTTGAAGATGGAGGAGCTCTCTCCGTCGGCGACCTTGTCCTTTTTCTTCTTTTCACGCGCGCTCGACTCGAAAAAGTCTGCAATCTTCCCAGCCGCTTCGCCCCCTGCCTTGCTGGATTTGTTCTTGCGCTCCAGTTGCCTCAGTCTGTACTCTGTCGCCTCGGACTTTTCCGGGTCGGTGGAGGTCAGGAACCGGACCTTGACCTTGCCTTTGCCTTCTCCATCGTCCTGTTCGTTGGCCCGACGATTCGGGTGAGAGTAAATGTCATCGTTCGGGAATAGCTCCTCGAAAAGCGAAGGCGCCTTTGCCTTGGGCTCCTCTCTCCGTGACGGTTTCTTCTTGCCCCATTTGTCGTCGGGTGAGCTGCGCTGGGGTTGGGTCGAGAAGAGTCGTTTGCCAGGGCCGTGGTCTGCGCGAAAGAACCGTCGGAGTGTAGGTGCTGGCGTCTGTGGTAACGGCAGCTGCTGTAACAGCGGGAGCCGTCGTCGGGCTGCGATTGTGGTCATCCGGGCAACTCTGAGGGCCGAGCTGCGCAGCCCTCGGAGGTCAGCCCATTGCATGGGCCCGGAGGGACTTGGGCTTCGTCGGATCGGCGGAGGAGGGATAGGAGAGAGAGGCGTCTTGTATCTCGGTTGGCGTGTATAGCTGAGACTTCTATGTTGTGGGTGGTAAAGGCTGTTGTAAGTGAAGAAAGAAGTTGAATACTGGACCTAGCTTTCTTCCGCGCTGCAATACGACGTTGAACAGGCGTGGCAGGGTAGGTACGTACCCTTGACTTGAGCTGGTGTGGGGCCGATGTCTGGAGGAAAATTGGTCGGGAGTCGGGACCTGGTGGAGGGGAGGGAGGGGTCTTTGAATTTTTCATGGCTCACTTACACGAAATCTTGGGCGATTCACACAGGAAACATACCTTCATACCACGAAGTCAAGAAAATAGAGAAACCCCAACAAGAACTCTAGGGGGGTTCATAGAGACTTGTGTATTCTTGGATTACCCGCTTGACTATTAATGGGCATTGTGGCTGTCATAGTTGCTTCTCAAAAACTCATCGTTGCCGGATCTTCTTGTCGCAGGGTTTTCTCGATGCCATACCCCGGTCTGGGCCCTACACCATTGTCAACTCATGTGGGCAGTGACGGATGAAGAGTAAACGTCGTCTGAACAACACATATACCTCCGATAGGCTACAAGAGACGAAAGATCCAGGAATAGGAGGGTTCGGGTTTTCCTTTTTCTAGATCTGAAGTTTTTCGATCTCACATCAGTTTCGGGTCACACTCAGGCAACCCGCGACTTGATTGTGCCGCGGGCTGAGCACTCAGTGAGAGACTCGACGAAGTCAAGACGACGGCAACCAGGGGCACGACACCACCCAACCCTGCCGCTGGCTAGACCACAAAACTATGGCCAAGACCATCGACGGAAAGGTCCGCCCCCTGGCGCCTTTCGACAAGACGCTCGAAAAGTCGACGCTCAAGGGCGCCTCGAGAATTTACGTCAACCGGGACTCCCTGATCCAGCTCACGGGGAGCGTCGACAACGGTCGACGCTGCGTCGTCACGAGAACCGCCGCTCAGGATGCTGCCAAGTCTGCGGCAACGACGACGACGACGGAGCCGCTGCGCCGGGAGGCCGCGCTCTGGACGCTCGCGGACAAGAACATCAGCCCCAACATCATTCTCATGAGCGAGGCGTACCGCGAGGCCTGCGGGTTCGAGCTAGGCGACCAGGTCACGATCACGATGACGGAGACTTCTGCGGTACCCGACGCCGAGTCGGTTAGTATTCTGCCTGTGACGACGTCTGAGAGGGAAAAGGCCGAGATTAAAGCGTGGGAGGGGGCTTGGGTAGGAGTGATTCGGTTCTATCTTGGTGAGTTGCGCAGACCTTCCTCCTTTCGATCAAACCTGGGTGGCTGCCGTCAGCCTCTCTGTGATATTCTACTATGGCTTCTATGCGCAGCATAACATTTACGCTCTTTGATCAGATTGAAACGGGCCCTCTTGACTTCAGAGCCGCCGTGAGACTGATGCTGACTATTTTTCAGGCAGAGCTGAACAGGTGTTTCCGGGCATGAAATTTGAGTGTGTGGCGCCTGGGTCAAAACAAATATTCAGGATCACATCAGTAGACGGCCAAACACATAATGTAGCCCGCTATGTGGTCTCAACAGTACCCACCATCGTTTCAGGTGAGGAAGAAGAGATAGTCGAGGAAGTCCGCGACGTGACGAAGCTCGTCGTCCCGAATATCCCCGGATTACATGCGGAAGAGAAGAAGCTGCGAAGCTTCCTCCGTGGCTTCAATGCAAAGTTCGTCTACAGGGGCCAACAAAAATCATGCGGAATCGTCATCCACGGTGGACGGGGTACCGGCAAGTCGTATATCCTAAACAGGATAGCGAGTACGGGCTGGGGACGAGTCTTCCGGATCGAAGAAAACGACAAGTCGTCGACCGTCGAGGAGGTCTTCAAGCAAGCGCGGACGATGCAGCCCAGCATCATCCTCATCGATGGTCTCCAAGCTCTGATTGGGAAAGATCGGGCAAACTCCACGGCCATCACCCAACGGTTAGGCCAACAGCTCGACCAGCTGGCCGAGGATGCTCTCAAGAACGGCACACTACCAAAGGTTGTGGTCATCGCCACCTGTCTGGACTACATGACGGACGTACCTCCCGAGTTACAAAAGAGAACGAGATTCGAGCGCAATATCCCCCTCTCTATACCCAACGCCGATGGCCGCCTCGAGATTCTCAAATCCTTTGAAATACCCATACAGCCGGAGGTCAAGGACGTGATGCTGGCCAAGCTGTCACAACAAACACACGCCTACAACGCAAGCGACCTCGATAGACTCATCGAAAACGCAATGATCATCTCAGCAGAGCGCCTCGACCCCGACGAAGCCGGCTACGACGAGGAGACGCTAGGCACCCCGTACCTCTCCCGCGAGGACCTCGAGCACGCCCTCCGCTCCACCAGGCCGACGGCCATGCACGACGTAAACCTTAAGCCGCCCACCATCCACTGGCAGGACGTCGGCGGGCAGGAGAGCCTGAAGAACGCCCTGCGCAACATGATCACGCTCACCACGACAAACGACCCCACGGTCCAGAAGCTCATCCTCACTCCGCCAAAGGGTCTCCTCCTCTACGGCCCGCCGGGCTGTTCAAAGACGCTGTCGGCGCAGGCCATGGCCACCGAGTCCGGCTTCAATTTCTTTGCTGTCAAGGGCGCTGAGCTGCTCAACATGTACGTGGGCGAGTCGGAGCGCGCCGTCCGGCAGCTGTTTGAGCGCGCGCGCGCCGCGAGCCCGAGTATCATCTTCTTTGACGAGATCGACTCCATCGGCGGCCAGCGCGCCGGCAATGGCGGCGGTGGTGGTGCCGCAAAGAGCCAGGGTGCGGTGAATATGCTCACGACGCTGTTGACCGAGATGGACGGCTTTGAGGCGCTCTCAGGCGTGCTTATTCTGGCCGCGACGAACCGGCCCGAGGCCATGGACCCGGCTCTACTCCGGCCCGGCCGCTTCGACCGGATCGTGTACGTTGGTCCGCCGGACGCCGCGGGGCGGGAGGCCGTGTTCAACTTGTATCTGCGCAAGCTCCCCCTCGCGGCGGACGTGGATGTTGCAGAGCTGTCGAGGCTGGCGGAGGGTTTCTCGGGTGCCGAGATTAAGCAGATTGTCAATGTGGCGACGGAGCCGGCGTTGAGCAAGACGCTGAGCAGGACGCACATCGGGGCCATGGAAGAAGGTCGTGGCGGCGGCGGCGTTAGGTTGGACGGGGAGGCGGAGCAGGTCACGGTTTGCATGGAGGACATTGTGGACGCCATCAAGTCTGTTCCCAAGGGTATTACGCACCAGATGCTGGATGGCTACGAGAGGTGGTCGAAGCAGTTTATGAAGCATCAGAACCAGAAATAGAGAGTCATGATTGTTCACGATTTGCGAGTTGGCATTACTTTTGTTAGCCCTCCTACTGAGTCTGCCGGATGATGCTCGACATATAGCTTACTAGTATGTTGTCTCTCGGTACTTCCAACATCAGAGTCAGTGTTCTTTGTGGTAATACCGGGAGAATGGGCGTATGTGGTTCAAAAGCAGTTCCCATCTTGTCACACTTGTCAAAAGCTAGAGAGTGTCCTAAAGATGCTTCATCGACTGGTAGGTTCTACAAACCTGCAAAGCTAGGTGACCCGAGTCCATCGTCTCGGACCCGAACTGCTTGAAATGCTCTTTAACATATCAATCTGATTCGCGGCCGTGTTGTCACAGAAAATCGCGCCGAGGTTCTCAGTTCGGACCCGAGTTTCCCTTCTGCATTAACCATTGAGTTGTCTCAACATTGCGGCTCCGCAGGCTGAACCAGCTGGGTGGTATACTCATACTGCACCTGCGAGGTTTGCTGGGGTTCCGTTTGCAAGACGGAACGCATCTGGTATTATACATTGTACATGCAGCCACTCAAGGCTGAGCCAGCCCTGACATCAGACCATGCTCTATCTGCGTTGCGAGGCATGAAGCCAGGTATTCTCGCAAGACGCTTACCTGCGAAGACTTTCACATGCTACGATATACTCGCCCAATCGAGAGCAGTGGGACTGAAACTTTTTCTTTGGGAAGGGTTGGTGGTGCAACTTCTTGAACAGGTGTGTCAGAGCCGTGATTGGCTACCGACGGATTGCATTGAGATGGGGCGACGCAGCGCCCCCTTTTTCCGCGTTAGTCTCTGGAACCCACGCACGGCGGAGTATCAATGGATCATGTCGACCAACATCTGGTGACGGCCACTGTGAGTTCTAGGGTCTGGAGGTAACAGTGTTAATGTGAGATTTGGGCAGAGGCACATCAGGGCGCGTCGATCAGCTCACTCACTCCCACCCTCCCCAACCGGCCCGGCTGAAAATTACGCGGGCAACGCTGGGCTTCTAGATGCAGGGTACCTGAGTAAACCTGGGGCTCCTGTCAGTGTCACAGAAGCACAGAGCAGCAACCGAAGAGAGCAATAGTCAGGAACAGCTTAACGAAAGGCACAGAGGGTGGAGTCTGAAAGTGCCTGATGTTTGGGCTGAGCAGAAATCTATTACGCATGACCGTGGTTCGACACGTGAAATGGGCGGTGTGTGGGCACTAATTGGAGCGTGGCAATTGGCTCGATTGCAACGGCGTGAGCCGCCATGGAACGACTTGTCGTTGAGATCGCCTTCTGTAATTTTTCTGGATCCTCCGAATGCTTCGCTTTTTGTCTTGATGTCCCAGGGGTTTGTCGCCTGTCTTTCTCTAAACAGAGGATTCTTGGATGGCCCGACTACCTACCCAAGAAATTGAGCGCAATGAGACCTTGATGTACCATCTCATGTACTATAGGTTAATTAGATACTACGGATTGAATTTGCCAGACTTACTGCAGTGACGAAAGTCAGCGAGGAAACAAAACCAACGCGGAAAGAAACATTTTACTCACCCCCTGGCAAAAGGCTATAGTGCAGGGGCCCCAGCTAAAGTGAATCGTCCACTCATCACGCTTCTTTTCCTTCTTTGGATTTCATCTGCCACCATATCGTTCGAGGCGGGACATGAACGACAAGTCTAACCATCTCCCACCCTTTAACCTCTTCCAATCTCGCCTGGTCTCTTCATAAAACCCGATAGCGGCAACCAGTCTCACTTTCTCCTTCCCCTCCCCTCCCGTTCTTCCCATCATCCAAAGCCAAACGCTTCCCCCCAACGTTTCCACGTGCAACTCCCAACGACCGAATCCGAGGCTCCCCTCAAAGGTGACATTCAACATCCCTTTTTGCTGCCTTTCCTATCAAAGCGTCCTTTCGCACAGGCCCATCACGACAATCGGCAACACCACGATCTCCCCCGCCACCATACGCTTCAACAGCAACCCAAGCCCAGCCAAATAAACAACCCCCTGAGAGTCGAATTGAAATGATCGAAAGTCCAACAGCAGCGGCCGACGCCCGCGCCGAGCGCCGCACCAAGTACCACGAGGCCGATGTAGTTGTCGTCGGCGCCGGCGTCTTTGGTTGCGCCATTGCGTACGCATTGGGCCAGCAGGGAAGAAGTGTACTCCTACTCGAGAGATGGATGAAGGAGCCCGATCGCATTGTCGGCGAGCTGCTGCAGCCCGGCGGCATCGTCGCCCTACGTCAGCTGGGCCTGGCCGACTGCCTCGAGGGCATCGACGCAATTCCCTGCTACGGCTACAAAGTCAGCTTTCACGGAGACGGAATCGACATCCCCTACCCTTCCTTTGACGAGAGCGGCCGCATGATCCATGCCTCGGAGAGCGAGGCAGTATCCGCAAGCGCGAAGCAGAAGGAGGGCAGATGCTTCCACCACGGTCGCTTCATCAACAACCTGCGCAAGGCATGCATGAGACAGGAGAACATCACCGTTGTCGAGACCGAGGTGACAGCCACGATACAAGGCGACGATAAGGATACGGTGCTTGGCGTAAGGTCCAAGACGACAGACGCCACGGGCCAGAAGAAGGACGACTACTTTTTTGGCCAGCTGACCATCATCGCCGACGGTTACGCCTCCAAGTTCCGCAAGGAGTACTTGCCGCAAGAACCCGTCGTCAAGTCCAAGTTCTACGCCCTCGAGCTCATCGACGCCCCCATGCTCTCTCCCGGCTACGGCCACGTCTGCATCGGCAACGCCTTCCCCGTCCTCCTGTACCAGATCGGCACCCACGAGACCCGCGCGCTCATCGACGTGCCCGCCAACATTCCCGAGGCCTCGCCCGCTGCTGGCGGTGTCCGTGGCTACATTAAGAACGTAGTCATGCCCACCTTGCCTCCCCAGATGCGCCCATGCTTCGAGGCTGCTCTCGCCGACGGCAAGATTCCCCGATCCATGCCCAACTCCTATCTTCCCCCGTCCCGCCAGACGGCGAACGGCATGCTCCTCCTGGGCGACGCTCTCAACATGCGTCACCCCCTCACTGGCGGTGGCATGACCGTCGCCTTCAACGACTGTGTGATTCTCTCCGACCTGCTCCACCCCTCGCGCGTCAGCGACCTCGCCGATCCCGTGGCCTTGAAGGGAGTCCTGCGGGAGTTCCACTGGCGCCGTAAGAGCCTCACGTCCATCATCAACGTGCTGGCCATGGCACTGTACGCACTGTTCGCCGCAAACGACCGCCAGCTGCGCGCCCTGCAGATGGGATGCTTCTCCTACTTTCAGCGCGGCCACGCCTCCGAGCCCATGGCCCTCATGGGCGGCCTCATGCACCAGCCGGGCAAGCTTGCGTACCACTTCTTCAGCGTCGCCTTCCTCGCCATCTGGCTCAACGCTCTCAACCTCATGAGCGGTAGCGTTTTCGGTTTCTTGAAGGCGCCGCTGGCGCTCATTGACGGCATCCTCATTCTCTGGAGAGCGAGTGTCGTGTTCTTGCCCGTCATGTGGCGTGAGCTGAACTGAAGAAACGACTAGACATACGAGATCATCATCAGAGTTATTAGACATGAGCAAAGAGAACGTTGGCGGAATGAGTGATGAGCCAACGAAAAGAAAAAAACAAAAAGGGGGTAAATTTCTCCCCACCCGCCCCGAGGTCTTCTGTCAGGAGTATCTCCCCCGGGGCTGTACATATACTCAGTTTACGATAAACCATATTTGGGATGGAAGCGGATCATTGGATCACCCCGAGTGTAGATACAGGTGTATCAGACCATATCATAATTTTAATCAAGTTCAAATACGTTCCGCCTTTTGTTGCCCTCTTCCGTTGTGTACAGCAAGCATTCGCATTGTTGACAAAAATCCTTTGGTCAGTCTGTAGTATAAATCTGACTACGGTGATCGATACCATTATTGCTCTTCAATGGTCGCCAGTCGGGCTGCTCCGTTTGCCATCCATTGCAGGAGGAATGTGTATGAGGAATAGTTGCGAGGCATAAGCTACTGGTATGTATGAATGTCCTTTTGTTCAGCTAGGCTTTTGTTCGTCCTTCGTCGTTTGTCGTCGTTTGCTGTATAGACATTTGTTTTCGAATACGACGTGAGAAATGTAGGAATTATTAGGTGCTAGCCAGTACGTATGTGTTCGTTGCGGAATGGGACACCGTTGCCAATGTGGCGGGCGACATTTCGATCTTATTGTGAATAAGATAGGATCGAAGCGATGGGCGTGAGGCGAAGGGGAGAAGTTCTTGCTTTAAAAGGGCCCCAGGCGGGAAAGGTAATGCTGACAAAGCTCGTTGCAGTCGTGATAGAGGTAGCTGGGCAAGAGGCCAAGAACATCATCCGGGCAAAAGCTAGAGGGAACTCCTGGTAAAACTGCGTAATGTACGGATACGGCTGTACGAGTTCTTCCCCGTATTTCAGCTAGATGGAGTACCGTCCCGGTAGCTTTTGATGACCGTATGTTATATGTACCCCATTCCTTCCTAAGGCTTTCCACCTACTAAGCATGTAACGTATAGAAAGGACCGATATTCTTCTGGACATGGCCACTCTGGGTGTGACGAAGAAGGTCAAAGTCTCTCTCTGTAACGTCCGCAAGCTCGCGGGCTTTTCTCCGTATCTCCTTACTCAAAATCCTTATCAAGTTTAGCATCAGTAAAGGGTTTGTCACGAGTTATGGCACCCGGCAATGGGCATATGAGGTGGGTTGAGATTTAGCTTGAATCAACCCATCTAGACATAGAACAGAGCGCTAGTCTATATACCGAACGAATATAAGGTCAACACAAAATAGTACATAACAACGTACCTCACGAGTACTAATACCATTCTCGATTTAAGGCTCGCCATAATATTACAGTAACGGTATTTAAAGCACGAGTACTCTAAAACACGCTATCCTCGTAACGCTAGGCCCAGACGTTATTGACCCAGTGACATGTAGAGCAGTTTTTGTAAATAATGAGATAAAGGAAGATTTGATCAGGTACTTGCTGGAACATATTTAATACCTATCGTTGATTAATTTGTGTACGCTCGTCCCTGGGTATGGATCAGGAATAGGGCGACGTCTAGTAGCTGTGTTCACATAGAATCGTTTATAGTGTATCTGGTTTGGAGAACCTTCATCGTATCTTCGACTGTGCCTCGAGTAAAGAAAGCCACGAACACGAGCAACGATTAAGAAGGGCTATCAGTCAGGATAGTAATACCATGAATGATGAATCGCAGTGATTGGAATCATGAGCTTGAGGCTAGGGAGTGATGGCCTATTCACCTAGGAGAACGGGTCATCGTAGTTCGCTTTCAGTCTTTGGCTAACCACAAACCATCATCAGTAGAGGTCCTCGACAGAGAATGGCACCACGGACGACGATACGTAACAATGGAACCCGGGGTTTAGCACTTTAAGGACTTTGTAGCATCACTACGGGCTCAACTACTTCCCAAATAAAGGCGGTTAGGGCCCATTCTCCTGCTGCTGTCAGACATCTCACGTGCGCATGACCAAGGAACCGAGGCTCATGTCGAAGTCCATTGACCTAGCTAGGTTACCTACCTGCCGATGCGATGGGCAAGTTATGCTTGCTTTGTCTATTTATATGCGCAGATTCCAAAGTCTGCATCACAACTTTTTGTTAAGAGCACTTTTGATCCCCGATCTAGAATAAGAGGCACCCCTGAAAACCCTTCGGTCCCCTCTGGACAAGATGATCAAGAGGGTTGAGAATAAAACACAAAAGAAGCGAAACCCCACACAAACATTGCATCACGTCAATCTCCGACGGTAAACACCCATCATCCAGCTACCCCTGAGAATCGCCAGACCGAGGGCCATCTTGATGCTGTCCGAGATGACGCTGAGCTTGCTTCCTGGGACCTCGTGCCAGTCAACGGGTACCTCAGCTACACGGATTCCGGGACTGGTGCCAATAACACTGCCATCTTCTCCGAGAACGGGCGCTGGCGGGGCTGATTCGGCCAGCAGGAGCATCTCAATGTCGAAAATCCAGCCCTCGGCATGCATGTACGGGACAATATGTGGAAGGGCGGCGCGGGTGAAGAGCTTGAAGCCGCACTGGGTGTCGCGGAGGCGGGATGTGGCGGGCGGGGTGAGAATCATAAGCACGAGGTGGAAGGATCGCATGAGGAAGTTGCGCAGGGCGGATCGCTAGGCCATGTTAGCATCTTGATATGGGATGGAGGGGTCTTGCGAGAGGAACATACCTTTACGACAGCCTCGCTGCCAACGAGGTGGGCGCGGCTGCCAATAGCAACACCGCGATGCGAGCCGTCAACAACTTCCTCGCAACCCTGAATCAGACGTCCCAGGTCACTGAACTTTGTAGCACCGTCGGCGTCGGCAAAGAGCACATACTCGCCACGGGCGTGGCGGAAGCCATGAGTGACGGCGCCACCCTTTCCGCGGTTGCGCTCCAGCTTGATGACGCGTATGACATCGTGGAGCCCCTTCTTCTGTGCAAAGTCGAGGCAGACCTCGACGGTGCTGTCCCTGGATCCGTCGTCTACAATCAGGATTTCATAGCCGGTGAGAGCCTCGGAGGGCGGGTTCTTGTAGCGTCGGCGCGGGGTTGTAGGGCTGAGGAGGGGCTTGGTCGGGGAGGAGGGGCGGCCAAAGTTCTCGTCGAGGTATTCAACTGCTTCCTCGAGGGTTGGGAGAATGCGGGTTGCTTCATTGTAGGCGGGGAGCACGACGGTTAGGCGCACGTCCGCAGGGTCGATTGTCGCACCAGAGTCAGGAACATCGCGAGGGTCGGTCAAGTGTGCGCGCGCCTCGGAGACGCTGCGCTCGGCGAACCAGCGATCAAACCAGGAAGGGGCTGTGACGTGGACTGGCTTTCCGGAGGCAGAGGAGGTGAGGTAGACTTTCTCGGAGGGGAGTACGGCGCGGGGCTTGGGAGCGACGAGGTGGAGGGTGATGAAGATCTGTCGAGGGTAAACTGTCAGCTTCAATTGGGTTCAAATTGGAAATATGTGGTTGTAAAGTCAAGCTGCTCATGTTCATGGGGAAGATAGCTTACAGTAAGAAGACCGGCAGCGGCAAGGCTGAGCAGCGCGACGCCAAGGGCCGGCCACGATGCCTGGGTTATCTGATCCATTGTGTAATTGCGATGGTGACCATGAGCACTGACTGGTGTCGGAATCGCCTTTGGTCAGTGCTAGCGAGGGAAAGAGTGAATGTTGTGAGAATTACAATGAAAAGGAAAGAGGTATCTGTTGCACGCACAACAAAGGAAGAAGAAAGAAAAATGCTGCAACTGCCGCAGCTGCAGCTCGAATTCAATGACAATGAGACGAACGCATCGACTGAATTGACGGGTATGAAGCAGCTTCGGCACCACCGTTTCTGGGGTTCTGGGATACGTAATGCGGAACGCGGCAGCTCGCGGGAGCCCCCCTTTTGTGACTTAACAAGGCTGGCCAATTGGGTTGGACCCTTGGGGGCGTCTTCCAATGGTAAGAGCCAATTGGCATGGAGGGGTAGGTACCTGTCTTGCCTAGCGCACCTCTCTAGGTGCTTTCCGCAGGCAGGTAGGTCCCCTGAGGGGATGCTCTTGCCCGCTACTTTCGGCTTGTGGGGGATAAGGCACACTGTAGCCTCGCATTAGCACCTTCCATTGCAAGTTCAGATGGGCCCGGGCAGCATGTTCAATGCAAATGTGACTTTGGCATGAATCGCATTCTTCACCTACGGATACCTATTTTTGGGAGCAACATCGTAGTTGTTCGGCACTACCCGAGAGGGTCTTCTCTCGCATTTCATCAGCGTAACCCTACCTATTTGGACTCTTTTGCACACGACTGGCAGTCGAAGCCTCTCCAACGTATTCTGCGAGTCGCTCGACAACATCTCTTCTCTTGACAGATATCTTCACCGAAGTATTGCGTGTGGGGGCAATGGAGAATGGCAACGACGCGCCTCGAGCCGAGCCACAGTCAACGAACATGCTTCGTCAGTTTCCGACCCAAGACATCGCAATGCTGTACCATGAACAGACCCATTGCGGTCCGCGCCAACCCACATTCCAGGACCACAGCTCAACCCCACGCTGCGATGAAAGCCTCAAATCGCCATGCCTCTGCACATGCCATCTCGCCGATACCAAATGACAGCAGTTGTATTTAGTCTTTTTCACAACTTCTCTACCCAGACCACCTGCGAGATTATAGACGTCAAGCATGTTGTCATCAGCGGCACCTGAGCCGCTCGCTGCAAGCCGCCATTACTGTTAAATGCTACCGGTGAATGCCATGCATCCCCAAAGCCACGCGACGCCTCATAAGCTCGGTCCTGGGAGTGATGCGAAGAGGTGTATACGGTACCTTTATTCCATCTTACACCGTCGTCACCTCTCGTGCCGCCCAGACAAGACCATAAATGTGGCCAGCCATCAATGGGTCGAACACTATCCAATGACTACATCTGACAAGCCTCCAAGCGAGCGCCAAAGGACTATCGCCAACTTTAAAATTGAGGTACCACGGAACCCCAGCCTCGCGAGGAGCGCACAATCAACCAGGGGTCATCCAGAGCCGCCCAGACGGTTCCTTTAAGCCACGGCTTACGAGAGCTGAGCGCAAGTCGGTTTTCCTGTGGAAATTGCTAACCAAGCCTTTCCCGTGCTCTTCCCCGGCGCCTCTCGAGTCCAGGTCCATCCAGATTCGGTCAACTGCTTGATACAGTTGTAAGCGAGGAGACAAGAGAGAAGCACATCTCTTCCAACACTCACTCGGACCCCGAACGCTCCGCCTGAGTTTTCCCCTCCTCGATGCAAGTCAGACAGGTAGCCAAGACTGCCAACGTGAGCTGGGCCGGTCTATACCAAACGAAACGTCCGAGAACCTGCATGCAACCCATCCCAACGGAGCCAATAGACCGGGCTGCATTTGCCCAGCATTACTATCGCTCTGGGCACTGAGGAGTGCCTAATCAACGAAAAGGGGATACAGGATTGAAGCCACCGAGGCAGGGCAAAAGCGCCTGAGTTGCACCGCATATGCCATGCGGCGTACAATCCTCCGCCACCACTCAATATTTCATCGAACCCTGCATACCTGTGTTCGGCCGAAGACTGGCTGACAGACAGGTTGACTCAGCGCGATTATGGCCGCTGCCGCTGCCCATGCCAAAATATAGCAGTTCCAACACGAGCTTGGACGATGGTATGAGCCTGCAGCTTCGAGGAAACAGAGCATCAGACGAGTATATCGGCATCGTGCATTTCCGTGTCTTCAAGGACCGCGCCCTTGGTTCCAGTGACGAGTTGGCTGGTCGTTGACCCTAAGATAACAAAAATCCACCTATTCAAGCATCACCTTACTCAGCCTGCTTCGCCAAACCTGACCCATCACATCTGCGGAGGGAAGCCTACCTTCAAGGCTCAAGCTGCCTCTGGCGCATATGCAAGGACTCGATAACGCGTGTGTTGGCGTTGCCATCAGTCTCCACAGCCATTGTCCAAATCCACGCGTGTGGGGGTTGAAGCGGGCGTCGCCTATTGCATCGACAACTTCAGCAGGACGGCTGGATGTGCCAACTTCATCTTCGTCATATACACTACTGCGCAGACCCATAAACCAAAGCTCTTCGTTCCTGACGATCCCTGGGCATTGCCTGCCGGTCATGGTTCATCGACGCGAAACCTCGCGTGGACCCTGACGATCTCTTTCCTTTTTGCACGAGACTATCCGGACAGTGGTATCCGTACATCTTTGACAATCGGCGGGGCCGTGGTACTGGGTCCTGGCCGCTCGGATCAAGCAGTCCGGTCCGGACGGGAAAGCGACACCTCTGGCTATTTCTCGCCATCTGCATTGGCCGAATCATCAATAGCACTGACGATCGCAATTCGCACCCGGCATCGTGATCTAGATTGGCAAAGCTTTCCAAGTTCCAGCTGCTCGTTTGCTGTGCTAACCTTACCATCTAGGGAAACACACTAAATGCACTAAACCGTTCCCTCTTTTGGTCCGGTCCCGACGGACGACGGCTTTTGGATGTAGCTTTATCGAGCTATTAGCCAGGAACAGAAGAGCGTGGGATAGCTAAACTGACGCCACACGAATCAAGGTTTTTCAAAAGTCCGGCAACCGATGGGGAAGATTGTCCGTCAAGTCCTCCTGAAGGCCAAGCCTGACTACTACGTATGCCGGTAGACAAAGGAAGTTGGCAAGCGTGGAGAGTCGGGTCTCTGAGCCTTGTGTCTCGCCTTCTCTCTGCCGTGCCGTGCCCCCGAGACATTCAAATTGTCTCATTCAACGAGGTAGAATTTCAGGCCTTCCCAGGCACGCACAGCACGCCCAGAGTGCCAATGTCTCGCCCACACGCTAAACATGATGTAAGACTTCGCTGTAATGTTGTACTGGGGACGTCACTTGAACTAGAAGGGGGTGAGGAAAAGAAAGATTATGAGCTTATTCTTGTCTCTTTTTGTGTTTCTTTTTTCCATCCCGTCTCATCGATGATCGAAGGTCTCCCGTTTCGAGACTTTTCCCCACGTGAATGCGGATCTTTGTCTTTGAGTTGATCTAGTGCTCGACACCAGGTCATGTAAAGTACAACAAGGTAGACACATTGAGATTTTGTAAATGTAGGTTTTGGTATTTCATTTCGTTGGTCGCTATTCTGCCAACGTTGTAGTAATGGTAGTAATATGAGAGGTAAGGAAAGTGTCTATGTTATCGGTATAAGTTGTGGTCATGATATGGTCATCAAATAAGTAGAGAAATAATTGGACCCGTCCCGGATCCGACCCTGAAGATGTTCAAGTCCCTGTTAAGTATCCAGTGTTGCTGAAGTCCAGCGGCAGCAACTCTGAAAGGTGCACCCTGTCGATTTTCTTTTCGATCCCAAAGTGTTGCATGGTCAAAAGCCAAGAGACCCCGAGTCTCATGGCGTCATTGTAGTAAGACATTATCCTCGAACGCCCGCGCAAGTTTTAGAAAGAGGCTATAGTTTGGCACCCGAATCCATGAGCAAATGTTGACGTAGGAAAGATGTGTTTGTATGGTGTAAATGGTGGCGTCTTAGTACCGTTTAAACGGCAACGGCGGATGAGCTCTTTGTTGACCAACGGCTCTTCTTAGTCAGCTTAGAGCCGGCTTGCTTCGAAAGGCGCTTTCCGGGCTTGTTGCTAGAAACGACTTCAGACGGCGCGGCGCTGACCATTTCGACGGCGACTGCGTTGTTGATGACGTGCGGCGGTGTGGTGTCGCGGCGAGTGTTCTCGTAGGGGATGCTGGCTACGCTGACTGCCTTCTCCGTGTGAGAGTCGATGGTCTCCAATTCGGTGAAACGCGTGACCTTGGACTTCGAGGTGCTGCGACGATCCTTCTGTTTCAAGGCAGACGGCGCAGCTGCAACAGGTTGCGGGGCGTAGGTGTAGGAACCGCCTTCTTCCTCTTCTTCGACGGACTCGTACACTGGCTCGGGCGTTACACACGCTGCTGGTGTAGTAGCAGCCGACGATCTTCCGGACATGGGCGCCGAGAAGGGGGCGCCGGTGTTGATATTGAAGTTGAATGAAGAGAATCCTGAGGAAGAGCGGACGCTAGCAGTCGAGGCGGCTGACGAGGCAACCATGTTTTGCTGGGTTGCCGGAGAGTTGTTGAACTGCATCGGGGGAAGAGACGTCATTGCCGGAATGGCATTGAATCCACGCATCGACGGCGGCGGCTTGCTTCGGTCTGTAGAAGGCGAAGAGTGCTCGGCTTTCGGGGAGCCATCGGCGCGCTCCGATGCATCCGATGCCCGGCGAGAACTCGGGTGAAGACGGTGGGTGTGAACAGCAGCGGCCGGGTTTCGTGGTGCCTGTGAGGCAGCAGGTGGCATGGAAACATGACGAGCGGGCTTCATCTCTAGGTCCTCCTGTGAGCTGGTCGAGCGGCTTGAGCTACCCGTGGGAGATTCGGCTGCTAGGTATTAGTCTCTGGCTCTCTTCCAAACTGGCAACATCATCTAGTGTGACCTACCTTTGACAGATGACGGACTGTTGCGCCCCGAAGCATACGATCTATCAACCTCTTTGCCCTTGAGTGAACCCTTGAGTGAGATGCGGCTGCCATCGGGGACTCCATAGATGGAGTTGGTGTTGCGTTCCTGCCAGTAAGGCATCGGGGGCGGACCGCCGCTGTAGCTGTATGCCCTGGGCATATTGCCCATCGGGCTGGCGTGAGCAGAAGGATAGGTGACGTGCGAGAGACTGCTTGAGACGCGAGGCAGACTTGGGCCAGGCATTCTGCTCAAGCCGCTGGCGGCCATCGCACTTCGCCGTCGGTTCTGTTCCATAATCCTGGGTCGGTCCTCATGCTTGAATGCTGATGGTGCTCCTGCAAGCGCGTCGATGGCGGCATGAGTAGGAATGTGCTTGTACGGCTGTTTCGGTGCCTCTGCGGCCTTCTCTGCCTGCTTTTGCTTGTGCTCCTTGGCCTGTTGTCTAGACTTCTTGAAAAGAGAAAAGACAGCCATCTTGGTCCTTTCTTTGGTACCGTTGGGCCCGCGATGATAAGGTAGTTTAGTAGAGACGGTGCGAGCCGTCAATAATGAACCACACTTAGACTAGTAAACCGACAATATCTCTGTTGGAAGAGAAGAGACAGTAACCACTACGGCTCGGTGTGGTGGGAGATGAAATGATAATAAAGGCAACGGCTGGGGTACTGTTGTCCTATGGCTGGCAGGATTTCGTATAAGTCGAGCCCGGGCAGCTGGTTTGGGCTATACTCAGGCCGCACAGGTGAAACTCGGGCGGTACCACAGACCAAATCCCAGCTCGGATGACTCTCTGACTTGGCGATATGGGAAAGGTGTCGGCTTGGCGAAAAGTCGTCCGTTCACTTTCACTAAGAGCGGTCGTTGTGGGAGATGGCTCGTGCCTCTCTGGCAGGTGGACGGATGGATGTTGGGAAGTTGAAGCGAGGGTTGGACGAGTATTGTACCACAGGTAGGGCAGGTTGGGGAGGGATATAAGCAAATAACTATCAAACAGCCTTAGGTAATGCTTGCCCGGAAAAGCGGATTGCAAAAGCCAAAGTAATATGGATAGATGAGCGAGAGTTGGGAGGAACACCAGGCAGCTCAGAAGGGAAGCTGGGTTCGGTCGGGAGCCCAGGTTCCTTTAAGGCGTGGCGGTGGTGTGTGTCTTGGGGTTGGACATGGGATATGCATGGGGGTGGTGGCAGAAGGAGATGGGATGGGTGCATGGACGACGTGGATTGGGACAATTCCCAAGCGGGGGTCCCAGACGACGTGCAGCTCGCTCGTTTTCTCTGCAGCTTCTGGCTCCCGAGGGCTCCAATGTGTGTCTTTTCTTGGCAACCAAGGCGAGTCCAGCCTTCAGGACGATCCCGACTAAGACGCTGGAAGATGGCGCCGCCGTCAGTCCCGCTTCTTTGGTAGAGGAACCCGTACGATAGTGTCAATGAAGTCGCCGGGCTGCCGTCAGACTTCAGTACGTCTTCGTTCGTCCCGGTCCATCTGTCGATACCCCTGAGTCGCACGGTCAGGTCCAGGTCCAGAAGCTGACTGAGATAGCGTCCTTGGACGACTCGCGGCTTGAGATTCAAGAGAGGACGCGAATGCACCGACAAGAAGGTCACTAGCCTAAGCTTTTGACAGATTTGGAACCAACGCTCGGCACCGGCTCCTAAGGATGTGTAGGACTGGACTGGCATGGGACTTGTGAATATCGTCCCCGAACCATGGTGACAACCTACTCAGGCTGGTATTGGCCTCGCCTCGTTTCGTGTCATGACCAAAATTGGGTTCAAGTTTCTTAACGCCTTTTCCCAGCGCCGCACAGCAAATCACAGCTGCAGCGGCTCAGCAAGGACTGGTCGCCCGGTACAGATTGGCGGCTGTCTATTCTGCTTGGCTTGATTGGGCCCGTAATACGTGTAGATTTGTGCAGCAGAGAGACGTTTGGCTTTCTGTGCCTTTTTTTTTTTGCTTGACCAAACGGCCCTCGTATTCGAGAGACAGGTAGCGGTACCTTGTTGCAGGGATGCACCGGCTCCAGCACGAGCGTTGTGATCGTGGCAGTAAAAGAAAGTCTTTGGTTGGAATTCGATAGCGTCGGTGGGAGACAAGCCGCTAGACGACGCCCAGGTACCCAGTACCAGATCATCAGCACGGAAACTCGCGCGGACATTCCAGGGCCCCGATTGATGGCGCTGGTGTCGGCGTTGGCTTCACGTTTAGGTTGTTCCCCATGAGCGGAGGACCCAGCCCAGCCGCACTGGACAGGGGCACGTCGAGCTAGAGTTGCTGGTCCGCTTCAGGGGAATCAGGGCCCGGTGATGGATACTCAGTGAGGGTGGATGATGCCGATGATGAATTGGCGAATTGCTGATGGTGTGCCAATGTGCCCCTCCCCCCGTCCGTCCCGTAAGTCTCGCCCTCCCACCACCAATACCGCTACCATGAGTGTGTGCCTGACCACCACCACGCATCGCCCTCGTCGTCGCCGCCGTCGACTAGGCTAGGTCAAGTAAGACCAGCGGTCGACTGTCTGACGTTGTGTCAACGGGTCTTTTGTTCTCAAAGCCGACCATGGCAACGGGCGGGGGAAGCAGAAAGCTACTGCAGCGTGGTCTATCTTTGGGCTTCCATCGTAGGTGTCCTATACGCCACTCGGCATGTATTCCCATTACATCAACGACAATCCTCTTGCTTGTTACACGGAACCGAAAGTTTGGCTGGACGTGACGATCTTGGTGTCGTTTTGCGTTGTCCGTTCTCTGCCTTCTTCTTCTTCTTCTTCTTCTTCGTTGTTGTCGTCATGCAATGTCGTCAGTCTTCTTCTGTTCAATCAAGACTGCTGGCGTCCGGAAAAGGCAGTGAAGCAGTCGGCGACAACGTCCCGGCGGCAACGAAGTGCTCCTTTGAAAAAGGTTCAGCCCCATACCGAAGCAAGGCCCACAGGTCTCACCCCAGGGCGGACAGGTCGCAAACGAGACCATGGAGCGGCTGGATATCGCAAATTCCCCTTGGTCGACGGCGGTTTGCCATTTCCTGCTTTTTTGTGGGCACCGTAATCGTTGAAAGTGTTTTGGCGTGGCATGGAGTGTGAGCGTGGGAGGGTATCATGTATGTAAGATTATACCCCTGTCCGAAGCTTGCTCGTGCCGGTGGATAGCCAGCAGGGCTAGGCAGCTGGTATGAACATGGATTGCATTAAGATGTGAGACGGGTTGGCGGTACGGCCATACGGCGAAGAGGCATATCGACGATTGTAAGTTGTCAACTTGCTGGGGGGTCGGATGGCGGGAACCATCTGCCGCCACGAACTGCCTGCCCTAAGGTAATGTCCCAGCTGCTCGTACGTACCTCAGTACAGAGTAGTAAGGAGGCACCTAAGGTCGGTAGGCCTGCTACCTAAGGTAAGGAAGAGCAGGAAGGCATGAAGGCCAGGCGAACCGAATTTGACCTTGCGAAGGAAGGAATTATCGAATAGCAATCTTGCCTCCTTCCATGTGGTGCATTCCATGGGTACGTACTTACCGTATCCTCACTCAAATGGATGGAAGGTAGGCAATGTAAGATAAGGTATTATGCATCATTGCGATTCATCCATCGTGCTTACCTTACCTGTCCTTATCGCAAGGTGCCTCATGTTGTGGAACATTCAGGTGTTCGACTCATCTTATCTTTTCATCACCTTGAATCCAGTCTTCATCCAGTAAGTTCGGTCAAACGTACATCTGCATATGTACACCTCTGCTCCATCGTTTGGTTCGTCTTGCACTCAGAGTCAGTGTCTCTCAACTGCAGGGCGTACCTCGCCAAAGCGGAACTGACAGCCGGACCATGCGAGGATTCCATGTCCTGTTTTCGACTGTATATGTCGAGCTCAGTTCAGCCTGGTCAACCGCGACAACCTATCAACACGCCTCATATGCCGGCCGTCTTGACTATCAAGAACTAACCGCGGATGGTGCCTGGTTCCTGGTGCCAAGTAAACCGTCTCAAACTCACATGGATTGTCGCTGTCATTCCCTCAGACACTTTCACAATCCTTGACGCAAGTCCCAAGCCCAGCTCATCACAATCGACCAGGATGACTCGATAATTCCGAGCTCGCATATCAAGCCCTTCATTTCACCTAATGGATTACAGATAACACCATCCTTTCTTACCGCACAATCTGTATAAACGCCCAAACAAGCCTGCATTGCGTGCTGTCTTTCTCCCCCTCTCACTCGGCACCGGCACGCCACGCCACGTACATACACACCGCAACATGGAAAGAGCAAGAAGAAGAAAAAAAATTCCCCGACCGTCGCCATCATCCTCGTTCGCGTTTCCGACGCACATGCTCTTGCATGATACCTAGTCCGACCCGGTTGCTTGGACCAAAAGCAGACGATACGGATAGACAGCACGCTGAGCCGGGGGTGTGCTCAACGTTCGGCCACCTGAAAGCAGCAGCAGTCAATGTCAAAGTCTGTGCAGCGCGCCCGTTTGGGTCCATTCGTAGCTCGCTTTGGGAATATGGAGCTTTTCAGCTCACCTACCTATTTCCCTATCTTGAACACCCCCCCAGCAGCCTGGCCCTAGAAATATTGATTTCTTAGAATTCTTAGCCTTGTCGAGTTGGGAAACACTGCCCTCCAAGTCAGGCTGGAAACATCCCGCGCTGAGCTTGGCTATCGCCGCGAGATAGACTCGTCATGCAGGCTACCGTCGCATCACCGGGCGCCGGTTTCAACCCTCTGGTTTACTCCGTACACTACGGAGTATCTCTTGCTTATCTCTGGGATCCCTGCTTCCACGGGGAGTAAGGGTAAAAAGCCACAGGACTCGTGTAGGCTTGACTCCCGACGTCGAAAACATGTCCAGTCAAGCGGACTCTAGAAGTCTCTCGGTATGGGCCTTCGGAGGGGGGCTTTTCAGCCTCACATACAAAGGAGCGTGATCATGAGGGCAGAATCTGTACTACCAAACGTTCTCGTTGCCCGTGTGCAACCAAAAGCTATAGACTCATGTGGCTTGGTACCGACAAACTGGTCGGCGAAGGGACTGATACCCTTCAGCCAGCCGCAGCCGCACCCAAGCTTGGAAAAGGCCTAGCTTAGCCATCTTGGTAGAGTTTCGAAAATTGGTGAAGGGGGTTTGATGATCATTTGATGAGGCTAGCTTTGGAAAGCTCGACGGAGTGCTATGGAGCTGCCGTGATAATGCCGGACGGGCGACCGAGAAAAAACATAAACCCCCACAACTCGCACGCTGCCACGCACTCAGTTTGCAGTCAGCCGCGTCGAAGCCATCCGACTTTGGCTTAGCTATTGTGTCTTTTCAAGGGTGCGTGGCACGACTGACCGTGGGAGTGTGTATCTCTCAGAGAATCTCCGTCGGCCACGGCTACGGGCCCACGGGGTCTATTTCAAGTTCGTGGCTGGACCGTCCCGATCAACGCATGGGTGGTGGTGGTGCCTATCAATATTCTGCGCCATCCAATGCGACCCTGCCATGGGATAATGTTCCGTTGCATTTCATGCCCTGGGGCCATTCCATTCACCGAGCCGTGGCCCGTAATCATGTCAGGTAGCGAGTGTATGGGAAAGGCAAGTCGTATACCATTTTCATCGGCTATAACACGCGAGAAGTACTCCGTAGAACACCTCACATTCGAAAGAGATGAGGTCACCCGCGTCAAAGTCACCCTCGCATGCCGCTGCCACGCTCGAATCGCTCTTGTCACACGTGCTTCCGCGACATTTGAACGGCCGTATCGAGTTGTGAAAAAAACAAGGTAATTTCGTCCAGTCTGACATGCATAGGTAGCAGACCGCCGTCTCCTACGCCTATCAGTACAGCACAAGCACCTCCGGAAAGCGACATAGATAAGATGCTGAGTCGAAGCGCCGTTGAATCTCATCTCCCTTTCTTACCTTCATCCTCCTCATCCTCCTCCTCCAGAGGAAAAAAAAAACTTGTTTGTCCTGCATCATCAAGATTGTTGGGACTAAACAAGGCGCCGCGCTAGGTACCTATTCCCATGTAAGTTGACAAGGACCCTGGTTTTTTCACGCGCACCCCCGAAAGGTGGAATTTCTCCGTTCGGCGAGCCTTTTCGCCAGCCAGATGGACGCCAGCAGACAGCTCCCGGCCCGCCCGGGTTGCGGTTCCTAACCCCCCTGCTAGGGCATTCAATGATTGTTCCTAGGCTCCGACGCCGGTCGTTAAATAATTATTTCCAGGTTTCCGAGTTGGTTCAGGCGGCAGAGAACCCTGCTCCAGCCTCCGAGTTGTGACTATGCACAAAGTACTGGATCTCGCTGTACGAGAGGCCTTGCCGAGATTACCCTGCGTGCACTGATGCAGTGGCAGGAGTGAGAACTGCAGAGAGATGCAAAGTGGAAGTGCTGCAACACAATACCAGCCTCTGCGATTGTCCCGTTTTCTCTCGATGCTGTCTAAATTCTTGGCGCAGGCCGATAGTTGTCTCAATTCCCACAACTTTCGCTATGCGAACCCTGACGATCAGGAGTACGCGTCAACCGGTACTTGTTTAGTTTGCTCGAGGTCCCCTGAGTTGCGGCGGACCAGAGTTCGAGGGATTGACAGCTGACAGATTCGGAAGAGTTTCTCGCTTGTAAGGTCCGTAGCTCGCGTAACATCAAGTACGCCGATCCGGGAGTACCGGCTGAGCCTAAATCGTGAAACTGTAGGCTGCCGTTGGAATAGACCCGAGTCGTCTGTCTTTTCTTTGTTCCCTTCTGCGCCACCGCGCCATCTCCATCGGAGCTGATCAACTTGACGTACTCGTGACTATGGCATCACAAGCTCAAAGTGGTCCGAATGGAACCAGTTCCTGGAGGGACTGCTTCGACAACCTAAAAGCATTGGGCCGGGCTAAGTGAAAATGTGCATTATCGATATGTACATTGCAATGCGCCGATTGAATCATGGAGGCAACGATCTGGGCCGTCCGAGACTCGTATGCCAAAACGGTAAACCCCGAATCGTCAAGATCGTCAGTGCAAGGGAATTGCAGCCACACGATTTCAGACCACTGCCGACTCTTCTGACGACATTGAAAGAAGCTAGCGAGGGCCGAAGTTCGGATTTTCCTTCATCGCAGTGACGATGACGAAAGACCATTTCGTCCAGGCTGGGGCATTGCCGCTGATCGTGAGCGGCTCGTGGTTTGCGCCGCCGTGCTGGAAGATGGACGTGGATCAGGCATACGTCGTGGCTTGCCTGACACTTGCATTTTAGAGGGAATATCTCCAATGTGTGATGGCCTAAGCAACTTTTGCACTTGGGTTGTTGGGTGAATCGCGGGTGTGCTATTGTTGCCCAAGAGCTCGTTGTGCATCGTTCGGACGTATCGATCAACGATTGAAAGTCCGCTTTGTGGGCTTTTGGTATGATATCAAAGCTCCTTCACTCTGTAAGCAGCATCCCTGCAGGGCTCAATTAGACTTCGTCGATTCCTGCGAATTGAACAAGCAGCATTGACAGCCGGAGAGAAAACGAATATATAAGATGCCGGAAGTGGGGGTCGAAAATGTGATATCACGGAGATGGAGCCCCAAATCCCTGCATGAATTTAAATCTCTAATTCTCAGAAAAACCCAAGGGCTCTTGTTCCGATGCGGCGATGCCCCAATGCCCCAGTGATGTGGCACGAGCTCCTGGTGTGATCTGCACGGGAGCACCCAAGCAAGAAATGGGGCTTTGGGTCCATTGCTGTATGCGGACACGCACTATATCAGATGCGACGGGTGCTCGTTTATCAAGACTTGGAACGGCGATGTTTTGAAACGTCGGGTTTTGGAATTGGTACTCTGCTGCCGGCCGGTGAAGATGGGTTCATGGAAGCGCTTCTTGGTATGAGCGGCACGTGGACTCAACGGATTTGCGACAGCAAAATAGCTGATAAGCCCAGCAAGGCCAGTCAGAAGTTGAGTACCTGGGTGGGTACTCTGGTCGTGTAAGCTGGTGATGAGGAATGTTGTCCCCGTTTCCATTCCGGCATTCCGGGCAATTGGGATTCCTACCTTAGGCATCGATCATCGAACGGATGAGATGCGGGGAAGGAGTCTCTACCTGACGTAGTGGTTCGAGGAGGGACGTCTTCGTCCTGGGTCCAACAAAAGCTGGTTCCACGGAGCAGCCCGGCCTAACGTCTGGTATCGAAAAGCAGAAACGTAACATGACGAGGTAGCTGTGAATGGGATAAGGTTAAATAAGGGTGTGTCCTGCGAGCGAGCATACCTAACAAAACCTTACACTAAGGTACCTTGGCCGCGCTTGCATTCCCGCGCTTCTGCAGGGACCTCACGGTGCCGCCAACCCTTGACTTCTGACTTTTTTCATACCTTGATTTGCCTCGGAAAGGTAGGCGTGTCAGTATCTTTGAATATGTACCTTTGGATACCTTGGGTAGGGTAATATGTCCGCGAAACAAGGGATCAGTTTGACAAAAGTATCCACGATAGACAGCTCCTTGTATGGGAACCTTGAAAAACACGAGGTGGACTGTCGCTTGATGCCCGATGTGATGTTTAGTCATCTGACCCCGCCACTGATAAACGGCAGGCGAGCGCCTACCAAAAGCAGATAATTAGACGAGTAGCCGCACGTTGACGCAAGCCTCCCTCCTGCCCGCCCATGCTGCCCCAGTGGTTGTCGCGGGTGCGAGGTGGTAGGTGCGTCGAGTCCACAATCGGCTAGTGCGATGCGGGTACCGAACCAGAAAGCGGCGAGTGGGAGCGATGAGCGGTAGGGTCACAGTGCGGTGAGTGGATACTTTGTGGGGCCTGATCGAGCAACCAGCAAAGCTGCCAGCCCAAGGAATCACGCGCATTGGACTGTCCCGTCCCACCATCCACGGCCACGCAGCACGCAGTATCCGTACTTGGTGTACGGAGTACGCAGAGGTGCCACCCACCTGCACCCAGTGCCAGCGACAGCAGTCCGCGCAGTTTCCGTCCCAGCGTGAGAGGTGCCAGACCAGCCAGCCCAGTCAAGTTCCGTACCCAGTCACCCAGTCCCAGAGTCCCCAGTTTGCCTCCTCTGTCCGACCAACCGACCGACCGACCGACCGAATACAGCCTCAAAGTTCTTCCATCTCATCATCATCTGCCATCCCACGCAACCCAAAAAATTTGCGCCGCGACGCCGCAGTCGACGACATCCCAAACTTCACTTTCGCTGCCTTCCATCCGTGCAAGCGCGTTGCTTATCATTGTCGCCTGCACTCCGCTATCGCTGTCGCGTCAGCCGCAGCATCCTTCTTTCTCCCCAACGCATATACCGTGCCTTGCGTCGCTCAAATCCCCCGGCACCCGCCAATCGCGCGACCCGACCGCCCCCTCCCATTTTGATGGCTCCCTGATCATCTCGACCCTACGTCACCCAGGCACATCTCGTAGCCACGCATTCATCGACGACGATAAACGTCTTCTCGCACGAGCGAGCTCAAGACTTCTCGTCCCCGACCGACCGACCTCTCGCTAGAGAGCCGCGCCCCATTCCAGGCGCGACCGAACGACGGGAAAGTGGCGCTCACCATCCTCACCCAGACCGACGCCGAGCTTTCCCTTCAACAACACCTCGACCTCGCTCCCGATATCCTTAGCTACCCCCGTCTCACTATCGAGGGGGGCACCGAACCATTGATGATGGCACAACCCGTGCCTCATCATGCGACGGACAAGAAACGCGTCAAGGTCTACGAGCTGCGCAACAATGACTGGTTCGATCGCGGAACCGGCTTCTGTACCGCTGCTTTCATGCAGGTATGTCTTGTCACGCGCCTCTAGGCTGTCGCGACCTTGCCCTCTCCGCCGTCGATGCCTCCTCTATCAACATATCAAAAGTCTTGATGCTAACCTGATGGTGCTCGACAGACGGCAGATGACCAGCCTCGAGACCCTAGAGTCATAGTTGAATCAGAAGACCACCCAGACAGGCTTCTATTAGAGACCAAAATTTGCAAAGAGGATGGCTTCCAGAAGCAGCAAGGCAAGTTTCACGGCATCTCAGTGTGCGGCGCAGATAAATTGACTCCTGAGAACAGAGACTCTCATTGTCTGGACAGAACCCAGCAATGGCATCGATATGGCCCTCTCCTTCCAGGAGGCGGAAGGCTGTGCACTGATATGGTAAGCGCTGGCTTTGTATATCCGCCATTGATGTTCATCGCTCATCATTTTTCTTTCCAATAGGAAATTCGTCAACAGCGTGCAACAGACTTTCCAGGGTGGCATGGCCGCTGCCGGTAAGTCGCGTGCTAACGGGGACCGTTTTGGACGACCCCAATCTAACGTTTTCCATTCAGACGACAGTCTTTCCGACGATCTAGCCATGGAAATGCCCAGCACCATCAGCCTTCCACCAGCCGAAATCGGGAATCTCCAGGAAATCGAGACTAGCATGCGCATTATGAGTCAGACAGTCAATGGACGAGACGCACTGGCTAAGTGCATCATGGGCGAGGACTACATTGGCAAACTGATTCCTTTGGTCGAAATGGCTGAAGATCTCGAGAGCCTATCAGATTTGCACCGACTTTGCAACATCATGAAGACCGTCATTCTTCTCAACGACACCGCCATAATAGAACATGCCGTGTCCGACGACTGCGTTCTAGGCGTCGTAGGCGCTCTCGAGTACGACCCCGATTTCCCGAGCCACAAAGCCAACCATCGCCACTGGCTAGATAACCAAGGACGATACAAGGAGGTTGTACCGATCCAGGACGACCAGATCAGGAGGAAAATCCATCAGACCTACCGACTTCAGTACTTGAAGGACGTTGTACTGGCACGCATACTGGACGATCCGACCTTTTCCGTTCTCAACTCTCTGATTTTCTTCAACCAGGTGGATATTGTCCAGCATCTGCAAGGGAATGGTGAATTTCTTGGTGACCTTTTCGGCATCTTCAAGATAACGCAAACGGATCAGAGACGGAAGAAGGAGGCCGTTCTGTTCATTCAGCAATGTTGCGCCATTGCGAAGAATCTGCAGCCGCCGGCTCGCCAAACTCTTTACAATAACTTCATCGGTCACGGCCTGCTTCAGGTCATCAACTTTGGCCTGCGTCACCCTGATGTGAGCGTTCGGGTGGGCGCCACCGACGTTCTGGTATCGCTGATAGATCACGATCCGCACATGATTAGAGGCACCATTTATCGCCAACTTCATGAAAGGCAACCGCCCTTGACAGATTCACTCATTGATCTGCTTTTGGTGGAAGTCGACCTTGGCGTCAAGGCGCAGATTTCAGACGCCTTAAAGGTCCTTCTTGACCAGGGCCCTCCGCTTCAGTCGCAGGAAGCTTTCGCGAAAGCCAACGGGGAGTTCCCAGGCCGACGGCCCCAGGCAATGCAAGATCCTCAGCACGCCAACCTCCTTGACAACTTCTACGCTTCATCAGCAATAAGGCTCTTTAGGCCCCTCACCGATCTTCGAGGCCGCACCAACATGGCATTCCCATTGCAACAAGCCTCCATGTTTACATATCTCATCGAAATACTTTGCTTCTTCATCAGACAACACCAAGGGAAATGCAGACCCTTCGTTCACCAACAAGATCTACTTCGGCGAATTGCCCAGCTATTTGCCTGCCCGGAGAAGTATCTACGACTAGGTCAGTCATTGGCTTCTCAACCGATCTCATGCTTTGCTAACCGTGAATGCCAGTTGCCATTCGCTTCTTCCGTAACCTAGCAGGAATGCAAGATGAGTTCTACGATCGACTCATCATGGAACATGGCATCTTGGAGCCCTTGCTTGACATGGTCTCCCAATCTATGCATCGGGACAACCTCCTCAGTTCCGCCTGCGTCGAGTTTTTCGTATTCGTTACCGGACAAGAGCACAGGAAGGCCATGAACAAGTTCCTCGTCCAAAACTATCGGGAACGACTAGTCGATCTGAGTTACATGGAAACTTTCCGCAACGTTCTAGTACTCTACGACCAGACTCAAGGCCACACCGCCGAGTTTTACACGGAATCAGAAGAGGATTTGGCAAGACGGACGGCCGCCAACACCAATCAGAGGATGATGGAACACATCGCCGTAGATCAAGCTGAAGAGGATTACTTCAACACCTCGGATGACGAAGATGGACCTGAGAGCAGGGCTTTTGACAAGGTGCAGCCTACAAATGGCTCAGCAGTGTCAACACCAGCCTCAAAACCGCTGGTCGACTACCCTTCGGATGAAGAGGTGGATGAGAACGCTGATCCTGAGGTGCTGCCAACGTCTGGCGAAAAGCAAGACGGAACCGATGGCGCTTCCGATACAAGCAGCGAATCATCCTCGGTCGCACCGCCAGAACGCCTTTCTGAGAAGAGACGGCGCGAAGAAGATGATGACGATGAGCTCGGGAAGCTGATGCAGAACAAGCGCAGGAACAGTAGTTCTGCGGGGTCGAATGCATCAATGACATCAAGTATGGTCAGGAGAAAGAAGACCTTTGCAGATCGGCCAAACACAGCAGCGCCGAAAAAGATTGCTATCAGTATATCACCTTCAGTGAAGACTGGTGGGGCGGCGAGGTCGGATGATGAATCCTGAGCGTTTACCCTGGCATTCACTGCATGGCAGATTGCAGGTACGATTGGCGATGACTATTTCCATCATGCTTTAACTAGGGACCGGCGAGTTTGGGGGCGGTGAGGCGTTATTATCACAGTTCACGACACGGGAAATCGAGAAGAGTAACCAGAACTAGCTAGAGAGCCAGAAGGTGCGCCGTTGTGAGAGTGGCTAGAGGTTGATTCAAGGATCTGTCGTGCAGGACGGCAAGTTGACATTTCAGAGTGCGCCGACAACAGAAACGGGGCCCCCCTCCACCTCTTGTGGCGGCGCCCTTGGTGATGGGAGAGAACGAGAGTATGGGAGGGAGAAAGAAGAAAAGAGGACAAGTCCCACTGTGGTATGTTGGGCTCTGCGGGCTGGAATCGCCAAAGTAGCATCGTGTACCATATTCCTGTTGAAGTTTTCTTGCTTCGACGCCGGGTCCTTTTGCGGGGCCGGTGAGCCTGTTTCTACAAGGCTTTATTTTGCACTCGGGCGCGTACCGTTCCAAACCCATCTCTGAGCAAATACCAATTTGGATTTAACCAATTCTTCGGATTTCTGTGTGCCGTTGTAATCTGAAGTGAAGAGGAGAAAAGCTTTGGGGTGATCCGGGTGAGCGTTCGGCATCACCGTTCACCTCTTGAGATACCTTTTTCGTGCAAGAGACACTGGAGCTGTCACTGGCCTCCTTGGTTTATGGTTGAATATGCATTCTATGTTGGCTATTGTTTACATGTATATATCTATCGACGCCGTGAAGCTTACATTTGTATGAATACATAGTTTTATACGCCACATGGTGTTGATAAAATCCAACGTTGCGTGGCATCTTACACAGGGGGTTCCCATCGTTCAGACCCCCCCCCCCCCCACCCCCACCCCCAAATCTGTCATCTCTATCTAAGTGTAGTCGATCTCCACGAGTAAGCTTTCTTGCCTGGCTGCGACTCGATCCCGTTCGAAACCCCGGGCCTCGTCGTAGAGTCCACAGGCACCTCGCGCTTACTTTGAACCCTCCTAACCAGAGTCGGCTGCGTGGAAGCAGGCGCAGGCGCAGGCGCAGGCGCAGGCGCACCGGCAACAGTATCTTCGTCCTCGCTCATCGTGGACAGCTCTTGCTCTTGTCCAAAGGCCGCCGGTGCGAGACTATCAGCCTTGCTGGTGGTCTTGAGTTTGGAAGCGGCATGAGACATGGCGTCGACGAGGACCTCCTTGACTTCTGCCTTCTGGTCGAGGTTCTCCTTTCTCAAGGCCGTGCGGACCTCGTGGACAAGGGCCAGGATCTCATTATCGGACTGGATGAGCGCTTCGTCCTTGTCGGCCTCGGCGCTCCTCCGGAGGTACTGCACCGCCCAATAGAGGCGGTACCTAACCTCCTTGGAGGTGCGGTACTCGCGGTTCATGAGCTCGGCAAGCAGCCAGCGCACCTTGCCATACTCGTGCCGGATCACGTAGGCGGCAAGGAGGTTATTGAAGTTGTAGACGCTGTAGCAGAGGTCACCGCGCCCGTTGACTTCGGCCGCGATGATGCAGAATTGGATCATCTCCCGGTAGTTGCGCAGTCTCTGGCAGATGCGAGCGGCGCGGTTGAACAAGCCGTCGTCGATGTGGATATCTTTGAGGCGGAGGCCGTCGAAGACGGCCTTGATCTCAGGATAGACCATACTTCGGCCGTCTTCACCCGCCATCCCGGCGCGGCGCTCTTCGATTTCGGCGAGTTGGCCGTGAACGATGGGATACATGGCCTCGTTGGTGTCGCAACCTTCGGACTGCGCACTACTCAGGAGTGCCATGGCCTGTCTACTACGAGGGCCTTCGGTCTCAACGACAGCTCTGACTGCCAATTTAAGACAACGACTCGTGTGGCCCATGCCGTTGTGCAGCGCACGCTTGTAGAGAGCCAGCACACTATTCCACCTCCCAATCTGTGCATCCGCTCTCATGGATTCGAAGGCACCCACCTCGTGGGCAGGGCTTGCCATGTAAGCTCTCAACCGGACTTGTTTGGCCCGGGGGCTTGATGTATTCGTCAGGTTTTTGTAGCATTGATCGAGGCCAGGGAAGGCGGTGCTAATGCCAGCACCTTTCATGGCATGGTACAGATCGGACAGCTGTTTATCGTTATACTTCCAGTTTCTGCGGCAACTGACCAACATTGCGGTCCAGAATTTGCTGTCAGCAGTGTAGCCGGAATCCATACAGAATACCAGCCATCGCTTCAGCGCCTGCGTGTCGCGACACTTTGCATGTCGGTCGGCAATGAATGTGACCAGGTGGCGGTCAAGGCCTAGTCCGAATTCCGAGATGTACGTTTCCATGAAAGTCTCAACCTCGCCCCAAGTGTGAGTCTTCGCATACGTTTCTAGTACGGCTGCAAATACGCGATGAAAGTGCCGTTCGTTGTGAGGGTTAGCCGTTTGCACCGTCCTCATCGCCTCAAATTCGCTGAAGACTCCGGCCCAGTTCCCCTGCTTGGCGTTTTGAAGGGTGAATTGGCCGAGTATCTTGATATCAGTTTGAGCTTTTGGGTATATAGATATAAGCTCCTCCATGAGCAAATCTGCTCTCTCGGCTTGTTTAGCCTCGATGCAGACTCGCACCATCCTCGATCGAATCTCGAGAGTGTCTTGAATGCCGTAAAAATCGTTGTCCCTTGCGTCTTCAAAAAGCTGAAGCGTCTCCGTGAAATTGCGTGTCGACTTCCAACGCACCCAGATGAAGTCTTCCAACCATTTCCATGGCATGTCCCATGCATCGCGCTCCCTCAGCAGGTTGAATGTCTGGAGAACTTCACGACACTGGTAGCCTCCGGTTGCAACGACTGAGTTGACGACGTCCATGCAAAGACGCTTAGAGTATGTAGAGGTCTTTTTCAGCTCGGCAAAGATTCCGATAAAGGTGTCGATGGCCAGTGCATGCTGCTGATGCTCGAAGAGTTGCCTCATGAACCAGACCATGGTTCCCAGCTTGTCGAAACTCCAAGTAGAAACTTGTTGAAAGATTTGAACAACATCGATAGGCCGCACGTCCTCCTTCGCCAAGGCTTGATTGATCAAGTCCTTGCCAACTTTCACATAGCCAGACCGTATCTTCGATTTCTCCAGCGGTGGCAACAGCAAATTGCTCACATACAGCCTTGCCGCTGCTTGTAATCTTTCGTGGGCAGATTCGTCGTCTCGAGGCTGTTGCGTCGTTGGGGAGACGAGGGATGTGGCAAACTCAAGAACACACTCCGCCAGCACGTCGTTCTCAGTAGCCACTTTGTGATGGACCGCAAACTCCAGAATCTTTCCGGCAATTCCAAGATCGCTCCGCCGGGAGCAAGCTTTTGATAGTAGCGAAGACAATTCCGAAAACCATTCAGGCAGCATTTTTGATTGGTCCACAAACCTGTAGGCCTGAGCAATAAGATTCAGGGCTGCGGGTGGTATGTCATTTTCGCGCCGTATAGACGTCGAACTGCGAAGCAAGTCCTCTAACCCAGCGGTCTGAGCAATAGCACCAGGGTGGTTGCTTATTACACGTTCAACTGCCAGATCAATGGCGTTCCTTTGTGCTGGCCCTCCATTCGGTTGGTTTCCATACGACCTTAAAACGCAGTCTCGAGCAGACAAGTCCTGAATCGCAGGGGTTGCTGACGAGAAACGGGACACAAAAGATTCATGCCTCTGTCTCTGCGTAGTGGTCAAGGTCGGCCGGCCACTTTTCTGCGTTGTCTCTCGCTTGTCGATCGTCTTTCGTGGGAGATCTCGTTCGCTTGCTGCCCTCGTTGGGCGTCGTGCGTCTGGGCCAGTTTCGTTGACGTGTTGATCCAGATATGAGCTATCGAACACCAATCTACCGTGTTCGTGTGAGGAATCGCGACTCCGAGACCGTGTTGGCCAGCTAACGAAATTTGGGTCGGTGGCGACCTCTTCCTGGAGAGCCTCGAGAGCAGCGACGCCGCTGGTGCTGTATCGTTTCAAAGACTTCAGTCTCCTGCCATTTTCGACTGCTGATCGTGCTATCTTGATTCGCTGGCGACGCTCTTCAGCTAAGAGGACGAGAGAGCAAGAGGTCCCGAAGAGAAGACCTCGAAGTGCATGAATCGCGGCTTTCGAGGGAACGGGGGCGGGGGCAGACATCGTGCAAGCTCGACAATTGCCATGATCGTTCGCGACTTGACTATCGGATCATTTCGTAGTCGCAAGAGGTCAATCGCTCGAAGGGGGGCTGTCGCAATGTTGGGCGCGGTTGCCAATGGGTCGTTGAGTCTGCCAGTCAAAAGTTGAAGGACCCTTGTCACATTGACGCCCACTGTCGTACCACCCTCGGCCTTTGCTAAGGTATCTTACCTTATGCAGACGCTTTTTGCCCGCTGACTGCTGTCCCGGCGGGCTGGATTGGGGTGAAGAGGAACAGGAGTTGATCCGTTCCGCCCGTGAGCGTCGGGTCTTAGTCATCATCTGAACAGACATGCAGGAGAACCGAACCCGAACCCGAACGCCTGCTTTCGAGCGGCAGGAAACAGCTCTAATCGCCCATATCGTGAAATCCATCCACTCCTGTTTCTAGAAGCTCTCGAATTCGAATGATCTCAGAAGCTGCATTGTTATCTTGCCCGCCGCTCACCATTTGTTCTACTTCATGCAGCAAGCCTTACGCAAATCAAGACCCAACGAATAGAAACTAGGCTCACTAGACACGCTGCCTTGTGGGATGCTTTGAACTTGTGGACAGTCTTGAGGTCAGGTAAAGTGAAGGCAGGAAGGAAGAGTTCGGTTACCAATCATCTCCCCTCGGAGAAGAAAATGTATCGTCAGCTCTCAGTCATCTTGCAAGTCCACAGGGCAGACCTGCAAGTCGCCGGAGACTTCATGTGGTCCGATTGCTTGACATCAGTACGCCCGGCACCTGCAGCCCGCAACCGGTAGTGCGAATCGTCGGGGTTAAGACCGGTGATTAGGCACAAAGCATCTTGAGTGTAAGCTAAGGTGGGATGCGGGACTCGCGCAGGGTCCTAATGCATGGCACTTCGGCTGGAGCATCACGGACTTGGAGACTGGCGCAGGAGCTAACTCTAAATGTCCACATATCCAATTGGACTGACAGCGTCTGAAGAGACTGGAAGAGCTACCTTACAATGAGATCATCTGTGCCTTGATCTACCTTACAGCCTGCCCTGCCAACTGAGGGGGGCCTGCCTGCCGTCCTGTCATGTTGCCTGTCGTACGTCCAGTCTCGTCCGGAGGGGAAAGAGCGGTCGCTATTAGTTGATCCCCCGCCTTCCTCCTCCAAGTCTCAGTCTTGGAAAGATATAAATTCCACCTCAGTCAGCTTGCTAATTCATGTTGTGACCAACCTAACGACCTGACTTTATCCTAAGTTCTCTTCATTCTGGGCTGCATTCGACTTACTTCCTCATATTTCTCACAATACCTATCATCATGTCGGCCCTACCTATGGCAGCTCCGCCCAAGAGCCCCTTGGCTCGTTACCGCATTCTCTCCCCGACAGCTTCCGTTCGAGTGAGCCCTCTGTGT